TTAAGTAATTCAAGAATAAAATACGTTTACGTAACATAAAATACAATTTTCAATAGAAAATAAACGAGAGAAATTACGAAATTTCGCTACAAATAGATTTTTATCAAATTCCATCGAAGAAAAATTGAGATTAAACACAAAGCGAATTTAATCACTTTTCCCGTTGTGGATTTACGCTTGAAGAAATAACGAAAAAGCTGCGTGCAGGAACTGGTAAATTTACAAGCTAGCACTCATTCTTTCTGCTGACTCCACGGGCCGTTAGCACGGCTAGAAGTTTTGTCATGGAGTCAAATAGCGATAGAAGTACTGACGGCCTCCTAGCACTAGAATCTTAATGGTTCATTGTAAAAGATTTTAGAGACCATAATCGACACAAATCGGAATATGCCAACTCCATTCATCATCCATGTCCTTACAATACGGTAAATTAGCTGAAAAGATTGATGAAAAAAACAAAATTATTAAAGTTTCGATTTTAATTTGTAAATGGGAAATTAAGATAGCTGGTATAAATCACTGATTCTAGTTTTCTAGTATTCTAGTTTTTGTCCCTTCTTTTTAATATCACCAATTTTTCTTCTTCTAACATCATTTATCACTTCTTGTTTGGCTAGCTGCACTGGCTGTTAGGATGAAGCCTTCACCAGAGAGCCACTTCGAGAAGTGTATCCATACCACTATTCTGAATATTAACAATAATAAAGATAAAACACTAATGATAAAAATAAGTTAATGGCTAATCTAATAGTTTATGCAAATATATATATTTATATATAATTTGCTACCATAAATCTAAAGAAATTTTTCCACAAATACTCAATTCCAGAAAAAATTCTCCCAAAATCAATATACGAAGAGTAGTTTACCAACAAATCACACAGAAAAAAATTAATTTTTTCGAATATTTTTAAAGACTGAACGCTTGATAAATCTACGATCTGTCCTCTTACTCTTATACTCTTATACTGTATTCGTGAATGTAGACGATTCAGAAAGTAAGAAACTGGTGTAGAAAACACGGAAGACGATAATTTGACGATAATTGAACTCAGTTCATGAATATTTTCATATCTTCATATTTTCATATCGAATATAGGTTTGACTTTTTACATCTTGCGGGCGACCTAAAATACAATTAGAAGAAAACCGGAACGGAAAATTATTAAAATAACTACTAGAAGAGCTACTGCAGAGTCAAGAGTTATTATTAAGAAACTGGATTTCTTAACAAATTTAACAAATTTAATATGAATTAATGTGGATATATTCTCGGATATGAAAGAAAGAACTTCTAACTTTTTCTAATTTCTAACTACTTTTTCACTATTACTGGCTAGGCTGGCTCGGCTGGCTATAAAGGACTCCAAGCTGCTCGATCTGACTCCATTGCTAGTAGTAACCAATAGAAGCCATTCCTTTTTCCATCGTCTAAGTCTATATATCGCTGGTCTTCCTATATAATCTTTCCTCACTGCATCAGTCCAGGTCTTGAATGGCCCTCTTGGTTTTTGACGCCAGCCATCACTCGGTTTAACAAGTAACGAAATATGTGCCAACTCCTGTGGTGGATGACGGAGAACATGCCATAACCAGAGAAGGCGACACTCCGCGATAACATTATTAATACAGGTGGTAAGCAAAGATGAACACAACCATGTGCGATTTCATCCGCTTGGCGGATTCGTAAAATATATCTTAGACATGAGGGGTCAAATCACCATAGAGTCAATCTGATTGGAATATTGGTTATCCCTAGAGTTCCGTGATTAGATATCTTTTATGATTCCTAAAGTATGTATTATATTAGTAACAAAAAACTCATACTGTTCGGCAAAACGAAGGTTTTCTCCATTGGCGCACTCGACCCTAATGCCATATTTGCCAATTACCGAATTCATCGTAATGGCATTATGACCTACATGTACATTCCAGTCTCCCCTGATTATGACCATGTCACATTTCGGTACAGATGTTGTTAACAATTGAAGTTTCGCATAGAGCCTTATCCTTATCGCGGTCATCCGCGCAAAAGTTGGAGCATATACACTGATGACCGAAATATTGCAGAACTTTCCCTTGAAACGCGCGTAGGCCATACGGTTATTTACTGGCTTCTATTCAATCAGAGCGGATCCAGCAGACGCTATTTCTCCGATTTATCCGAGACACCACAATGATATAACCGATCTCTTTGTTCGGAACCAGGCTTAACTATTCGAGAGTTGACATGAGGAAGATGGATCTCCGACAAATAAGCCAAATTCACGTGGTATTTAGAAGAGGTTGGACAGTTATCGCTTGGCTTGCAACATTCATAAGCGTTCTGATGTTCCAAGCAGCTATTGCCTGCACCTCTCCGCGCTTACAAAGTATTAGCGGATAGATTCTCGTATCCCTTAACGAGTTTTGAGTAATTATCTAGGTTCACAAACATATTCTATGCTCGGACCTTGGAATTATTTTATTATTATTAATATTGTAAATATTATTACGCACGGATCGTATATTTATCGCATGCACCACCTGGTCAGAAGTACCATGCGTGTCAAGAAGTTTCGACTCTTTCACCATAGAGTCACTTGGGTAGAAAGATACACATGTGAGACCGGATTTTTGATACCATGGCAGGTTTACTCCTGTCAAAAAAAAACAGTTAAATTTAAAAAAAGATGTTTAAGGATGATTAAAAGAATTTTAAGAAAAAACTGCTATTATTATCAATAAACAAAAGCAAAAAAAAAAAAAAGAATGAAGAGGGAAGAACAACCGCCTCTATTAAATAGTAAGGTTTAATTCAGAAATTAAGAAATAATTAAGCAATAAATTAGGAATATTTTGTTGAAAATGACCGAATAAAAAAAGAGCTAATATCATTGACCGAAGCAAAGAGATGCCGCTCACACTGCGCAATTCACAAGAAATCTAATAGGACATATTGTGACAACCATCAAGGAATTAGCCATCAGACATTTCTGCAAAAATTTCGCCCTTCTTCTGCAAAACACATTTATGGCAATGGAGACACCAGAATGCGTTCTAACCATGTTGGATTCAGAATGGATATGCTGATATGGATATGCCAAATATTCACGCTAAAGAGGGCATTGGAATTGGAACGTTTCAAATATCAGCAACCCACCGTCACTTGTTTTAATGATTCGCTCTGCCTTCAAATGATAAGCAGAAAAAGATCATTCGATTCATAAAGGCGTTTTAATTGTTCATATCGGCTCAGGTCTGTAAGAGGAAAGTGAATCCTTTCGAAATAAAAATTGCTGAGATCTTTCTTCTACAAGCTATTCAGCTATGCGATGGGATTATGGATATCGCTTGTCGATATGCAAGTAGTGTAAAAATTAGCCAACAGCAAGACATCTCGAATACTTAATTATTCTCTGACAGTTATACCCGACAATATCAACAACTGCAGTAAAAATAAGACAATGTAAACAAGGCGAGCTTTTTCATATGCCTGCCGTGGATGAAATAATTATTTTTATCAATTGATCAGAGGCTCAGGAAGTGGCAAATTTAAATGTACTTGGATCCACTCTTGGATCCAAATGGCCAGGCAAAAGATGAATTAAAGCTCGTAGTTAGGAATATATCCTTTCGTTTAGCAATGCAAAACCTCTTTGGAATTACAGCGAAATCATCAAAATCTCCATTAAAACATTCGATGCTCGCATGTGCAGTGTGCACCATCCTGTTAACTGCAAAACATGACCAATGAGTGGAAAAAGCTTTTTATCTTATTTATCTATTTATCTTTGAACTTATGCATAAGGCACACTATTCGCCGAGCAAACAAAATCTGACATGATTACATCCATCTCCGCTCAAATATTTTCTGCGAGAACAATATCGTCACTTAACATCTCCAGTGTTTAGACCACGTACCTCGTCGCCCACTGCAGGAATTGACTTGGACTGAGCGCATAGACGACACAGAAATGTATGAATTTAGAAGATGGGAAAGGGATTCGCTTAGATGCCTTATCACTGATGAGAGTTAGAGTTATAACAGGAAATGATAAGGACTGACAAGAACTGCACTTTTATAACAGAAAGCAACCTATCTCAAAAGCCGGCTTATTACTGATAGCCATCTGATCTGGAAGAGCATTTTTATAGCTGACTAAACAGTACGCTAACGAGCCATGTCAGACTGGGACTGCCGAAACAATTATTAAATTTCTAGGAAGCAAATAATGCAACTGTGGAAGACCACATCATAAATGCGACATGCTATCGACATATACGGTAGATAGTCGACCTTGCTTCCTTCCCGTGCCGAGACTAGCATTTCACTCCCAGCAAGAACAAACTTGCCTCTCAAAAACCCGGGTAGTGCTACTGATTCACAAGTATTTCCATCGCTAAGTGGGTAAACTTGTTAGTCCAGCATTATTAGGTAATCGACAAGTGCAATAAAATGGGCGGGGCAAAGTGCTGGATGCTATCAATTTAGATCTGTCCCAATGTTCTGGAAATAACTTCAAATTTTTTAAAAAGTTATTTTCGAATTTTCGGAATTAAATTAATTTTTGAAGAGAGTTTTTTCTTTTTCTCTTCTTTTATTTTCTCTTTTCTCTTTTTTTTCTTCTTTTTAAAGGTATTTGATGATTTGTAACTAACTAATTAACAATAATTGATTAAATCGGGATTTTCCCCTTCCTTTTTTATTAGTTGATTATTCAAGGAATTAATATTTTTTAAAGCATAACTAGGCTGAGGCTCGGTTAAGTTAGTGGGCCGAGGCTTGGGTAGGCTGAGGCTCGGTTAAGTTAGTGGGCCGAGGCTTGGTTATGTTAGGATGGTAGAACTTGCTCAGATTTGTCCGCCAAGTAAAAATAATCCACTGTCGCCAAGGTTTTATTTTTATGAGATGTTTACTCGTCAAATTCACTCTTAAAGCAACGTCTGGCCCAAATATCGTGTGACCGTGAATATTCGCACATATTTCAATAATTCGATTATTTCAAGAGATTATTCAGATGCACTTGCGTCCTTGTTGGGTAACTTTTTTACTGTTTATTGCATTTTTAATATTTTTAATAAATGTTCGTCTGAATTTTATTAGTCGAAATAATATAACGATGAAAGCGACTGTTCCTTTCGTATTCTCTTCTATTATTATTTATAATCGAGTATGTTTTTTTTTCACTGCTATTTTATATATAACTCGATTCTAAAGCTAATTGTTGATATCTCTAATTCTAATTCTGCATGAATTTCTTTGGCTACATTTATAATGTGTATTAGTTTATATGTTTATAATAAGCATGAACCATTTTCTTTAAGTAGATTGGTGGTTAACTTAAGCAGCAAATATTTCTTGTTAGACTCGATCAATTAGGATAATGAAGGATTTTTTAGCCGGGAATTACCTGTGGACAGAATTATAGATTCACTTCAGAAACACTTAGATTTCCTGAAATTTGCTTAAAACATATTTAAAAGAAATAAAATTTTTAAGAATTTTTTAAACTTCAGATTTTTTTGCCTAGGAAATATTGCTCTTCATTTTTGAAAGATCTTAAAAATTAAGTTTTCATAGATATTTAATCAATTCAAAATTATTTATGTATTTATTTGAAATTCTAGATTCCTAAAACAGGTTCAACGACATTAACAAATGCTTTGATGTATGATTTATGTCATCAAAATGGATTTCATGTATTGCATTTAAATATTACTCGAAATCGTTATATGATGAATTTAGCTGATCAACGACGATTCGTTTATAATATAACGAGTTGGACAGAAATCTTACCAGCTGTATATCATGGTCATGTTGCTTTTATTGATTTCACAAGGTTTAATTTCTCTTTTTGAGAATTTTTGCGTTCGAAAATCCCTAAGTTTAGCAATAAAAAACTGTGATAGATTATTAGTTAATTTGTTATTATTTAGTAATTCTTTATCAACATTGGTAATTATTTGGTAATATTTCTTTATATCAAAGTGTCAGAATATTTAATTACAAAATTTGCTTCATTTCTCATAAATCGAACTTTCTCTTGTAATTTTAATTTCATTATTGTAATTTTTCATCTGTATTTGATTTTCATGAGGTGTTTTATTTCTTATTGCTAATGATATTAAACATTCTTTTTTAGTTTATTTGTAGATTTGGTTTACCAAATCCCATTTATATAAATGTTGTACGCGAACCTCTTGAACGTCTTTTGTCACATTATTATTTCTTGCGTTATGGAGATAATTATCGGATTGGTTTGAGGAGAAGTCGTGCTGGAAATAATGAGGTTTGCTCTCAACGTACCATAAGATTTTAAAATTTTATTTTTATTTGTCAGTTTGTCAAAATATCAATTATTTATCAAGATTTTTTATCTTTTCATAACTGTTTCATATATTTTTAGTACATTATTTTTTTTTATTTAGTTTGTATAACTAGTGGATTTGTTCCGATCAAACAGCCTCATAGAGTTATGTTTATAACACATTTAATCGTCGAATCATTCTTTTTCAAATCTCATTGTGGTAGATATGATTTTTCTTTTTAGACTTTTGATAAATGTATCATTCGTAAAGGAAAGGACTGTGACATGAAGCAAATGTGGTTACAAATCCCATATTTTTGTGGAAACCACCATTTTTGTAGGTGTGTTTCATCTTAATGTTTTTCAGTTTTTTAGATTAAGGCATTTTATCTTTTTCTTATTGATATGATTCATTATGATATAGATACAAGCTGGAAAATGGTCAAACTTGGAATAATAAGTTTCAAACAATGGTTTTTTAGTGAAGTTGGAAATTTTCGTGCCCTTGAGGAAGCGAAATGGAATTTAATTAGACATTACCTAGTTGTTGGGCTTAAGGAACGATTGCGAGAATTCATTTCTGTGTTGGAGATACTTCTGCCGAATTTTTTCGATGGTGCCTTAAGGCATTTTGATTCCTTAGATGGTAATTTTTGAAATATTTCAGTAAAGCCATTTTCTGCATTTATAATCTATATGTGTAAATGTGTTTATTCAGAAATGAAATATGTATGAATTATGAATTACTTCTTTATAAAACCTAAATATTTTATAGAAAATCGTTCTCATCTTCGATATACTATATCAAAAATTCCTCCAACCGAGGAAACTCTTTCGATAGTGCGCTCAAATGAAATTTATCAAATGGAGCGTGAATTCTACGACTTTGCTGTAAATACTTTTGAAAACATATTAAAGAGAATGACAGACGATAGGGGTCAGGATATGCGAGGCCAGCAGTTTCATTATGAAAAAATCAAGTCATAATATCAGTGGGAAATTTTTTTTCACAAAATGAATTCGAAAAAAATGGATGGAATGGTGGCACATATTTTATTAGCCGCCACCCTTTGAACTAAGACCTTTTTTTAATCTATTCTTTGAAATTGATTATCCATCTGAAAGCATACTGTCTACAAGCAAAAGCTAGTCGATCATATTACGTCATCTTCACTTAACGATGTTTTAGGAAATTGACAGATTTATAACTTTCTTTTTTATTCCTTATCAGAATCCTACTGTTAAAAAAATTACGTTTCACCATGCAAAGATATAAAGATTTATGGGAACAGAAAAGGGGGGATTTTGGGAATATTTCGTGGACCTAGATTTCCTTAATTTATTTTAGAAGCTTCATCATATTTTATTTAGTATAGTATAAATATAAACAACGCTATACTTTATTTCGAAAAACAGCTTTGCAAATTATTGGGTGCTTGTAAATATACTGTATAAATTTTGCAAAAATTTTTAATAAAACGATAAAAGCATCAAATTCCAAATTCAACAAAAAAAGATTAGATAATTTATTGTTAAATAAAATATTTAGTTGGTCATTTGAGATGGATGCTTTACATCAAGTTTGATGCAAACATTCATTGCGGCCAATTCTGCAGACAAATATCGTAATATCCGAGGAACTTGGACGGAGTGCACCCTATCGTCTTTGTTACAAATTAAACAGAAACAGCGTTCGGTGTGATCTATCACCTGCGATTTTTGGATTAAAATTAATTTATTTTTGCCTTAAATTTTTCAAATATAAATTAGAAAACTTATCGAAATTACTGGACAATGATTTCAAAATAATTAAGAAAAATTTAAATCTTTACTTATATAAGAATAAATAAGTATTTAAACAAGTTTAAATAAATACTATAACCTTTTTGCTACTATAGGAAAAACTGCCACGAGGTTGATTCATCAAAGAAATTATAGATCCACAATTTGCGCAAATATTAGAAATATCACGATCGGAACAATTTAAAAGTCTATCCTACAAAAATCGTAAAAATCATTTTGATATGTTTAAGAAATTAAAAAAATATACTTGTAATGCGAAAGCTGTTCCATGAGCGATCATAGCATCTCTTTCCATTTCTCCAAACCTTATACCTCCGCCTTTTTTACGACCTTTTATCGGCTGATGAGTAACTGGATCCACTGGACCACTAGCACGTACTTGAAATTTATCAGCTATCATATGGCGTAAACGTTGGTAATAAACTATGCCAAAGAAAATTTCGACCTAAAATAAACCTGCATAGTTATGAACCATTATTTTGACTTTTACGTCGAATTTAGCAAAATTAAAATTCAACCTCCATTTCTCGTCCATCTACCCCTGAATACATAGTTTCATTACCATAAAAATTATAGCCAGCACGAGTTAATAGTTCTCCAAAATAATCGATCGCTGTGTGCTTCTCGCTGAAATCATTAATTATCAGAAATTATCAGAAAACGCTAAAAAAATAAAATGTATTTAATATTAACTTGAAAACGAACGGCGAAGCATCATAAATTGAACCATGCATCGCTGCAGCTTTTCCTGCCATACTTTCGATCATCATACCTAAATTTTTCATCAATCTAATCGATGTTGCATGATTGTGAATCATTTTGGATCTAATTTAAAATTTTTGGATCTAATTTAAAAACAAAGATGATAGTAGAGATGATAAAAATTTCACATACCATTAAAGCATACGACCACTCTGAATAAGAATAAATTAAAAACTAAAATAGTTTAACGAATTGCACTAAACTGAAACTGGAAACAATAGTTCGGCTCCTACCTCCGATAGGAAAAACGTGTAAAAAAAAGGGAATGATATTCATCTAAATTCCCTTGCGCAGTGATTCCCTGATAAAGATTTCCAAATAATCTGAGCGAAATTACTGGTAAACGCTAGCCACTTATTTTAATTATTAAACTGAGATTTAATCAGTAACTAACCGATAGTCATTCGAGATGGAAAACCATGCGGATTAAAAATAATATCAGGAACCACACCACTTTCAGAAAAAGGTAATGATTCAACAGGCCACAGAAACGAATTGATTCCTTTCTGACCATGCCTTGATGCAAATTTATCACCAATTATGGGATTACGTTGAATTCGCCATTGAATGAGTGCATGCTGAAAATTTCTGAAATAGCGATTAAAACTGCTAAAACATAAATCAATATATCAATAGTAATAAGTATGAAAATATCAATATCAATAGTAATATCAATAGTAATAAGTAATAAGTATGAAACTGTTTCAAAATTGGGAGTCCGCATTTTATTCCGCAGCGAGAAAGAAAAATACTTTAAGAAGTACAAGATACAACGCTATGCAAAAAATTGCGAACAATTTTAAAAACATACACATTTGCCTTTGGTATTAACAAGATCATCTGCTTCAAGAATTCGAACAAGCCCGCAATAAGCAGGTTCACTATGTTCGAATTTCTTCACTTTAAAAGAATTTGTTTCAAGTTCCAGAAACGAGTAATATGGATCACCTTCCATATAAAGACGTCCTGGAATGGGCAATCCATCTGTGTCGATTGATTTTAAGGACTTCTGAGGATCCGCAAAAAAATAACGATTCACATCACCGCTCTCTGCTGCTAGATTTATCCTATAAATATTTAAATATTTTCATAAATTTATCTGCATTTAAAATTACTTAAAATGAGATAGGACAAAAAGCGCTAATCCAGCATGAAATTGACATACCGTTCCACCTTGATTACTGACCCATGTGCAAAACCTCTCTGATAAGAGCTTTTATTAATAACCATAGCATCCTCCATATCATATCCTAAAGAAGATCATAATTAGTAGGAGTAATAAAAGGGAAGTATACAATTAAAAACTAAAAAAATTGGAAAATATTTAAATAATTATAATTATTAACTAATTATAATAATTATAATTAGTTATTTAAATAATTAAAAACGTAAAGTTAAGACCCAACTCTGCAAATGAAAAAAATAACCTGTGTAAGAAATCACAGCAACGCATGCATTGGTACCGATAGGATAATCATTTATACAATATTTTTTATAATTGTCAAGTTGCACAATCGGATTTTGAGGAAACTAAATTATTATAAATGAAACAATTAATGAAACTCTTTTTTAAAACAACAAGGTGAATTATGGGTTGTCTATAAATTATTTATCAATATTTAAAGGTAGAAATTCCCAATATTTTAAACTGATTCAAATGAAACGAGGTGACATCAGTAATGTTAATAGCGTGTATGGTGAAGAAAATTTTAAAACTTAAAATTTTAGTTTCCATACCTGAAGACGATACATTTTATTATCTGCCCGATAATTCCAAGCATGAACTGGAACTCCCATTGACTGCTTTGCCATTTGACACTGGTAAAGATTTCTTGGTGACTGATTATGATCAGGAAATGGTATTAAATTACCAGAAAAACTGAATAAAGAACTAGGGTACAATTCTTGATGCAGAGTGACACCTTCTTCTGCTTCATTCGGATCAATGCATATTGATAAATAAACTTGCTCAAAAGTACCTCAAATAGTAATATCATTCGTCCTTAATTTGTGATGGAAAAAAGAGTTATAACTAAAACTCGCATGAATCTACAAAACTAAATCAAAATAAATTAATTAATGATAAAATAAGCAAATATTTCATATACTGAAAAATTTCTACCAATGTATTCGGTACGATTCAACTTCAAATTTCTAATTGGCCGAATAAGACGAGCTGGATCAGTGAAAATATACAGACCAGGATATTGACCTTGAATATTAATTGGATCTGGCGAACGTTTTACCAAAACAATTTCTGAAACGTATGGAACACGGCTGTCATCAACTGAAACTTTAGCATATCGCAATCGTTTTTCAATTAAAGCGGCATCATCAAAACGTATAAAGCCAACAAAATTACCGTCAATAAGAACGGAATATATCTGAAAGATCAAAAAACTTCAAATGAATCTTGAATATATATTATATAGTATATTAAATTATATATAAGAATTTTTCTTGCCTTTCAAACTCTAACTGATTTATATAAATCTACATTACGCATTGCTTATAATAAAATTTGCTTCATCTTTTCGAATCTAAGGAGCACGAAAATATATCTTTGCAGCAGCATATAATGCACCAAAACAACAATTTACATGCTTTTTTAAAACTAACAGAATAATTTGCTATATTATGCCTAATTCGCATTTCCAAAAAAAAATGGTTCCATCTATAAATTTGAAATAATGAATTCAACACAATAATTATTGTTTTATTCTTTTCCATATAGTTTAAGCATATTTCCTCCTATCATCAAACTTTTTTGTAAAAGATTTTCCGTTTTCTTTCAGTTTTCCCTGTTTTCGCTATTTTCTACTCAATGATCACCTCTTTTGCTAAGCTTAATAAAACATCTACCTTAATTTTTAAAAAAAATCACCTCGACATCTGCCAGAAAAAAGTGGTTATTATGCCTAAGCATTCCCATTTCATCTAAAAATGAAATGACACCCTTGTTATCTGAATAATGAGTGACAACATCAGTATCAGCAGTGACATGATTGAGAAGACCACAAGGAGCACCGTCAGGAGTATGTACAGGGCATATGAAGCCCCAAGCTTCAGGTCGAAGTTTACGAACATCAGTAGTGCGCATTTGCGTAAAAAATGCACCACGATGAATGGCTCTAAGAAATATATAACCGTAATTGTTTCATGAATCAATTTTGGAACAAAAAAAAATTCTTAAAAAGTGGTACTAACAATACATGAAAAAGAGCTAATGAAGCATAAAGATACCTGAAATGTGAAACAAATCTTAAATAATTAATTCGTTCAGCGATGACAGAAAAACCAGAATTTTGTTGGAAAGCAAATAAAGCATGAGACATCAAATTGCCCGTAGCCAAAAAATATTCCAAACTTCTTGTAAATTCACTAATACGATGGGATCGTAAAGTATGAAGTATTTCAGAACTAAAAAAGTTTTTTATTGCAATTTATTTTTTCCACCAATATGTTTTTTAGATATGATTTTCAAGCTTTCAGCTTTGAATCTGCAATTTTAAAGCGATTTTTGAAAACATAACTTGTAATAATAAATGTTTCAGATTTTTTGCGCATATTTATCTCCAATTTCCTTCTAAGATTGATAAGCGTCTGTTGTAATCGATCTCGAATCAAAAAAAGCAAAATGTGACCAGAAACTGCAGCTTCTTGGAACTGTGGATTATCAAGTGTTTCAGGTGAGCATTCTCCTTTAACTAATGCCATCAGTTTTTGAGCCATATAAACCAATAGGAAAAATTTCTCGTCATTATTATCCAAATGAATTGCCACACATGATTTTAACAGAAACCTTCCAACATCCTATAAATTACAGAAACCTAATGGTAAAAAGACTAATGGCGCGAATCATTTTCTTTTTAAATCATAATAAAATCATGAAAATGAAACGAATTTTGGGAAATTTTGTTTCTTAAGTGGTCGTTTTCTGTTCCGCTCTGCTATTCTTACGTTACTTCTGCAACTTTCAAAGTTACATACCATACAATTAAGCTAAGTTTCTTTTAAAAATTCGTTTCTTTTAAGCTAAGTTTCTAAGTTTCTAAAAAATTATAAATTAAATTATGTATATATTTGTATATATATATATATATATATATATAAATATCAAAAATCCGGGTGACTGCTGATGATCCATCCGTAATTCCGCAAGTGACTCTACAAGGGTCAAAGGGTTCTTGACAAGGATTTTTTGATGCGCGTGGTACTCCTAGCCCGGTGATACATTCGATAAATATATGATCCGGGCGTAATAATAATAAATTGCAAAGCAGAGAATATGGTCACGATAATTATTCAAAACCCCTCAAGAGAGACGAGAATCTATCCGCTAACACTTTGTAAGTAGGTGAGGTGCTTGGAACATTTTATGGATGTTACAAGCCAAGCGATCATCATCCACACTCCTTTTAAATATCATGTGGATATGGCTTATTTGTCGGAGATCCATTTTTCACATGTCAGCTCTCGAGTAATTTTTAAGATATTTAAGTAATTATTAATAACAAAAATACTGGCTATATCATTGTGATGTCTCGGACAACTCGGAGCGAAATAGCATGCTCGATCCGACCTGACTGAATAAAAGCCAGCAAATGACCGCATGACCTGCGCGCATTTCAAAGGAAAGTTCTGCAATATTTCGGTCATCAGTATATATGCTCCAACTTTATGCTCACATGACTGCGATAAGGATACAAGTTCTATGCGGAATTTCAACCGGAATTTCAAACTAAATTTCTAGAGATACATGACATGGTCATAATCGGGGGAGACTGAAATTCGCGCGTGTTATAATGCCATTCTGCTATTGAACCTCGACAACTAGCAAATATGGCACCAGAGATCGATGCATCGATGGAGAATGCCTTCTTCGCTTTGCCGAAGAGCATGAACTTTGTATTACTAATATTTGCTTCTGGCATCGTAGAAAACATCTAATCACGTGGAACTCCTCGGATAACCAACGTTTCAACCACACTGATTGCATTTTATTCAGCCACCGTTGGAAGAGTTCTGTATATAGATAGTCGTTCCTATCGAGGCATTGAAACAGGAAATATTCACGGATCTGATCATGCTATGGTTCGAGCCAAGATCCGCATAAACTCGCAGTAAATAGCATCCCCCAAGATCCTTTAACTATCTCAAACTAAAGAATTCGGAGAATAAGTTTTCAAACCGAATTATTGAAGCATTTCAGTGATACAAATATCAATGATTTTTCTGGAACGGCAAATGAATACTGGTTCAAATTAAAGGAATGTCTCCGAAAATTAGCCACTTCAACGAAGAACATACTAGTAGGAAATGTGCTAGTTGGGTATTCGAAAACAATCCAATTGTCTGTAAAGCTGCCAAAGCACAAATGTCAGGTAATCCTGACTACCGGGTGCTTTGAAGATTTGCAACGAAAGCAGCAAGGCGGGACAGAAATCTCTATTGGAGTGGCATGGCCTCAAGAATGGAGGCGACGGCTCGATTAGGCGACAATAGGAAACTATTCTGCCTTATTCATAAAACAACTATGACTCGGAGAACGATCAGTGAAATGGTAAGAGACAGCAAAGGCGTACTAATCAAAAGTATTAAGGATCATAAGATGGAAAGAATTCTTTAAGGCCAAACTTAACCATGAAGCTGCCCCAGATATAGCTGATAATCGAACCATACGTTTGCAATTGCCAACCGCCAACAGTAGAGGAAATAATCTCCGCTATCCATAAGCTTAAGGCCAATAAGAAAAGATGGCCTTCGAACTCTTTAAATGTTCTTCTTCTTCTTCATATCATGGCTTTAATAAATGCACTCTCTGCTGCAGAATAAAGAAATAATACCAAATGACTAAGGCAAAGGAATTCTCCTAATTTCCAATAAGGGACAAGACATATATAACAATTATCGAGGAAACCAGTCTACCAGACATTTGGAAAACTTTCACTAGCCATCTTATAAAGACGTTTTATCAGCGTACATCGGCACAGGTCTATAGGGAACTGACGGACCTTTTCGAAATAACTGGTATTCAACTATGCACAGATTAGATAATGGACATCACTTACTGGCACTCAAAAAGTGTACCAGTCAGTTCAGAGCATAATATCACAGATTTTGAATAGAAGCTGATGATGTAATCCTTTTTACTGACAGTTATGACGCAGATAATGCTAAACGACATATCAACAACTGCAAAAAGAATCGGATTCAGGGTCTATATAAATAAAACTAAACTTTTTTCGTCTTATATATAAGAAGCTGATAAAATGCTTCTTTTTACAAATTCATTGCCGGCTAAGGAAATGCCTGATCTTACTCTAATACCGAATACCGAATACTACCCTAATAACGAATTACACCAGATAAAAGATGATAATACAAACCCGATTACGGTAGAGAGAAATGCGTTCTTCCCGTTGACGAAACCCTCATGAAGCCATCGTGAAATCACCATAAAAAATGACCGCATCTATATAGCCACGATTCGTTCAATCTTGCTATATGGCTACGAGACTGGCCAATGACAGTGGAGGATACTAAAAAGTTATCTGCCTTTGACCACTCATGTCTAATGTACAGTTTATGGGTTCGGCAAGTGGATAAAATCTCATATGATTGCATACACCTTCGTTTAAATACCACTTGCATTAACAGTGCCATCACAGAAAGTCGCCTTTGCCGACATATCCGCTACAAAAGTTGATAAACATTTCATCACTTGCTAAACTATGTCTTTGGTGGCGTCAAAAGCGAAGTGGACCAATCAAGACCTGGACGGTCAGGAAAGATTTTGAGCATACAGGTGGACCAGCAATATATGGAATGGATATGGATTTAGAAGACGGAAAAAGGAATGGCTTCTATTATCGTCGATGATGGCATCAGATCGAGCATTTAGAGACGCCTTACCCTTGTAACCAGTCTAATCGGTAATGGTATATCACTAATGATGAGAATAGTTAGAATGAAAAAAAAGAATGAAATAAATACCTGATCGGTTTCCCATGAACCTATTCGATCCTCCAGCGTTACTCGGAATCGCGAACCCAAAGCAATCAAAGCACTTTCTTGGTCTCTTATACCATCTTCTTGGCAACACAGCAACATTGATGAAACGCATCCTGAGATGCAAAACATAAAATTTCCTTCAACCAATAAAATACAATGTCAGAAGCAGGATTTTTGTAATTTTCAAAATGAATGAATATTTACAAGAAATATACCTGCCCAAAACAAATCTTTTGCACGACCTCGAATAAAATGTTGGTATATACTTTGGTCACTTTGCATTACAAGTGCTTTGATGATATACATTAAAGGCAAGTAGAAAAGCTCGTTACGAAACTGAACGTAGATACAAACATTACCATTAAGTTCCAGCATAATTCAATGATATCATCAACTTTTAAATTTATTAAGTAAATTAATTTATTAAATAAATAGTAGTAGTTTATTAAGTAGTTGATTGACTTGATATAAGGAAAACTATAAAAATAAGCAGAATAATTTAATCGATTTATACAAAAAACTGGAAAAAGAAAATGCAGCATTAAATTATGAACTCACTATCAAGCACTACGATTAGTTTTACAATAAACTGCATACAACAATAAATAAAACTTTTAAATCTTAGGTAAAATGTAATAACCTGAATTGCAATCGTAATAGTTCCGTTTTCTAGATAATGGAGAGTCATGATGGTAGCCGAATGATTCTGTCTAATGCATTTCATTAGAACTCCGTATTGCGTAAATAAATCTCCCTTATCGCGAAAATTTCTTCGAATAAGAGCAATTGGATAATTACGTCGACTGGCTACCAGAAGACGAATCACCTATATTTCACGTACATAAAGGAAATATTAATGTAAAAAGAAATTAATATAATAAAACGAACAAATTTTTCCTTAAGAAAAAAGTTCAATTTAAGGATTTGAGAGTCCTTACAGATAGATTTTTGAAAAAATTGCAGATTCATCGAGATAGGAAAAAATATTTTATACAAAAATAAAAAGTGCCAACCTTTTCAGTACCTTTACAAATGAAATAGCCACCCTTTTCATTACCTTCTTCACCATGCTTAATTAATTGTTCACGTGAAAGGCCATTCAAATGGCACCGATTCGATTTCAGCATTATGGGTAACTGCGAAAGTTAATTTGATGTAAATTGATTAATTAATTTTCTGCCATTTATTTTTCACATATTTTCTGCATAATATCAAATTTAAAATCACAAATTTTTTTCCGACCCACTAGAGAATGACGATGATAATCGAAAAAAAAATCCTAACAGATATGAGAGTGGTTGGCTCTCACTATTTCTGGCTAACCTAGCCCCACTAACCGTTGTTGTGTTAGAAATCTTTACCCCAACTCACTTCTCCCAGAAGACAATCACAGCAATCTTTCAATAAACCGTTTATTCTTATCTCGATGCTAACTTCGATAGGCGCTTTATATGTCAGTTCACGCTGCCGACATTCGGCCGGAAACAATTTTAAATCATCATTACACGGTACAATCTAAAAATCAGTTTTATATCGCCTTAATTAAAATTAAAACTTTATTTCTGCTAAATATTCCCAACGAAGTAAGTAAACCAATAGGTAGCATATAATTTCTGATAATTATTTATAAGATGTTTTTAATTTATTGGTGTAATTCGAAAATAAAGAAATATATTTTGAAATATAAACACCATCGATTTGCTTTGAACTTTACTTTTTTCTTCGAAAAACCAGCTTACTAAATCATCTTTGAGAGTTGGATAGCCGACAGTAGCTCCGCAATATCTTATTTCGACAGCATCACCATTTGCCAATCGCAATTTTTCAGCAGGAATATCCGAAATCGCCAAATTAATACCCTCATCCAATAAATAATTAAATGAATTAACATGAAAGGATGCTATATCGTATTCCATCGTAAAATTTATCTGAAATATTACGTAGGCTCAGATATTGCACGACACGTTCCTGGACATTTCCCTCTTAGAAACGGCTCTGCAGATGCTTGTACTTTTAATGTCTCTTTGTTGTAAAATCTGGTGCTATGATATCATCATGCAGGGAACTGTGGGCTCTATATGATGTCGCCGTGTACTGCCGTTATTCATCGTGCGCCGTAAAGTTCACGGTTTCGTCAACAACGCTATGCTTACCTTCTCCCCCCTCCCCCCCCCCCCCCCCAACGGCCATAACAAATATGGAAAGTTTTCCAACCAGTTGGCGCTCAAGATATACTCGCATGATAATAAGAGGCAATGTTTTAATCGATTAATCGGATCGTAATGAGCAGAAATGCAAATCTCGCCTTGGCTCCAATACAATACTGGACTTGCAGCATAGCGCCATTTCATTTTTTTATTTTCATTTTTGACCTAACGATGAATTGTTTTTAGTATTCTCTGAAGCAAACCGAATCGCAGCTCACAAATATTTAAAAAATGTGCCTTGTGCTTTGTTGCGAATCAAAAGCCAGCGCGGCACAACAATTCAATTCGACGAACAGCACCAGTGCTACGGATTTCTCTCAGGTCAACCCCCTCCCTCCCACACTCCCGCTAGAAACTACTTTCTACTCTCTTAAATTACTCTCTTAAAATGAAAGTAAAACACTTAAACGACGCTGACGCTGTTTAACTGTCCGGTGCTGCATTTATAGGTTTTTCGATTTAAAATTTTCTGGTCTTGCGACGAATTTTTTTCGGATTGCTGAAAATTTCGTATGGGCTCTGATTGCTTGCAAGGAAAGGTGGAATTTATTGGTGGAATGTCGGGCATCGTTGACGAGTCGTTGGAGTTGTCGGATCCAACACCAGATATTCACCAATTATTTGTAAAATTCAATGCAATGTTCTTCGAAGGGGAATTAGGCGGCTGCGAAGTGAAATGGAGTCCGCGCATGACGCTGTATGTTTCCTTTTTAGTTTCTCGTTTCTCTCTTATAGCACTCGTCGTTCATTTATCTTTATTGCTGCCGACTTGCGAACTTCACATTTTTCCTCTTCGATTTCGCGTCATTTTTTCTCTTTCTTCTTTTATTAGTCGTTAGTTCGACATTCCCTATTTTGTATTCAATTTTCTCTTCATTTTCGTTCACCATTTTATTTTATTTTTATTTAAGCTGCGTGTTACCTTTTTTACTCGCACTCGTCTTCAGTTATCTGCGCCATCTCAAAAAAAAAAAATAGTTTGTATAGTTTGGAAAGGAAATGGTTGCTACCACGTTGTTTTCATGAAATTTTCTAATTAAGATGTGCGGGAGTGTGTAGTTACGAAGGTCGTGGAGGTCTGTGTTCGATTCGTTTGAGCGAACCATTGCTAATTTTAAGACCGAGGAAGGATCTCATTGAAACACTTCTACACGAAATGATTCATGCATATCTTTTTGTTACGGAACGCAACAGGTAAACTTTTAGTCTTTTTATATTTATTGTAAGGTCGTAGCACAAAAACCGATGGCAAAACTATTTAATTAGCCTTAAATTATTTATTTAACAGTCATATTTATTTTTGACTCTGGCTTTGTATTGTTTTCTTTAAGGATCTTAATAATTTAAGAGATCGGGATAGTCACGGTCCTGGATTTCAATATCATATGAGACGAATAAATGCTATCGCTAAAACGAATATAACTATATATCATCGGTTTTACGATGAGGTTAACAGTTACAAACAACATTGGTGGCGATGTGATGGTATATGCCGGTAATATCTGTTTTATTTATGTTGTTTTATTCATTTTCCTTAAGTCGAGTTGTATTCTTTGTGAAGTTTACAACTATCATATGACATATTTTCAGTTCTCAACCACCTTATTTTGGTATGGTAAAACGATCTATGAATAGGGCCCCAGGTCCAAATGATTTTTGGTGGAAAAACCACTTAAGGCGATGTGGCGGTAAATTTTTTCCTTGTGTAATTTTTTATTCAAACAAGTCTATTCAAACCTAAAATTACTTAAAATATTTGTTAAATATTTTGTGTTATTCATTAAATATTCATTAAATATTCAATTAAATATCTTTATCACATCCTTTTACAGTTCATGTTATTTTATTCAGGTCGTTTTATAAAATGTAAAGAACCAGCAAATTTTGGTAAAAAATTATTCGGTTCACGTAACAAAAACAATAACACGTCTTCTTTGGGTGTCTCTGGGCGAACACCATTTATTCAACGTGTAATAACGTCGTATTTCACGGGTGAAGGTCATTCTCTGGGTTTTTGTGATGAGATAAATAATAAGATAAATGATGTATTAAATCCACTTAGTATAGTGAGACAGATGTACCACGAGCGTTGGTTGCAACAACCGGAAGTTGCAACGAACCGGTCATCCCAAATATGTGCTGGATCTAGTGGATCCACAACTTCTAATTTCATTCTCTCTGCGAACTGTACAGATTCTCATGAAAAGCCAGTTGAAAAAGATAGTCTAAATTTTGATACTTCATCTTCTGACATTACCGCCCTTGAAGTGATTCAACGGTTTAATGTAAATTGTCCTGTATGTACTATTTCTGTGCCTGTAAATCTTATAAATTCTCATTTAGATACATGTTTAATTCCATAAATTCTTTCAGTTCTGTGGGGTTTTTATTTGGTCTTATTTTTTTCTTTTTTTATAAATTTCTTTTTGCTTTTATTTCTTATCGACAAAAATAAAATGGTGTTTTTGGGGTCGACTTACTTCCACTTTTTTTAAGTTACTCTTGTGGAGCTTTCATGTACTTTGGCCATTCAGTGACAGAAGTTTTTTCTTTCGCACTCTATTGGCTCTTGTCCAGTTTTCTTTTTGTTTTCTTTGTGGATGGCGGGCGTTTTATTATATAGTTGGATCTATTTTACTGATTCGATTATTTGGTTTGCCAGTTAACTTCGAAGGAATACACTTAGTCTGATGAAAATTATCTTGTCAACTGACTTTTAATTCCTTCATTGATCGATCCTTATTAATAAAGCAAAATCTTAGTTCGTTTTTTATGCTACCATTCTCGTTTTTTTGATCCTATGGTAGCATTTAAATTTTAAATTTCGCCTTTTGGCGTTGGCTCTTTTTTTTAAATTGTTGTGAATTTCCATATGCCTATTTTTAATTGAAGCAGTGATTGTAGAAAGTATTTTTATGCAATGAATTGAGTCAAAAAAAAAGATTTTTAAAGATTTTTTCTTGGTTAAATCATCAAACCATTTTAAAAAAATTTAGGATCTAAAGAATTTATTGGAATTTCCCCTCCGGCTCCTTATGTTAAATCTGTCAGATTTTTTTTTAAGAGGATCTATCCTTAGGAATCATCAGAGTCAACCAAACGAGGAATATTGAATGCTATTAGTAGAAGAAGAAAAATCTGGTATTGCGTGTAACAGATTCGGGAATGCAGTGGTGTATTCGCGGTCAAATTCTGAAATTCGGTTGGCGAATTCGGTTTTTCATCAGATCATCGTATCTTAATCCATATGAAACATCAAAATGTTGCAATTTATCGGTTAAGCAGGGATATCCGAAATCGGCTGATACTCAATCCGAATCTATTTATCAACAATAAAATTTCGCAAGTGTAATATTGTTGTGCATTAAAAAAAAATAATGTTCTTTTCTCAATGGAATGTGATATTTATGCTCGAAAATAATTTATATAAGATTTGTTCATAAAACCGAGCACCGTTGGTGCAGAAAGCACATCAATTCTTGGGGAGATATTCGAGGGAGAATTGACGCTGTGTGAAATGAATTTAGTATAATAGGTCAGACAGACGAAACTTCACTCGGGAAGGACGCGGTTTTTCAGTTGTTGGTCTAATGGTTTGTCGTTTGTACCCAAGCAGACTAAGAATTATAACAAACAATCTTACTTTTATTATAACAAATTGTTTATAACATAAATTATAAAGTTTAAGATAAAAGAATTTATATTAGAAAAACAAGAGAAAAAAACGGAGTTTCTCGCACACGAACAACTTAAGCAATTTCGAAGTGGTGAGTCGTCTACTCTATACGCATAATCATATTAATTTCGTTTGCAAAAAAACATTTTAGTGTGAATGGCATGCAGCGCATAGTTAACAGATGTGTATTACAGAAAGAAACTATAGTTATTTGATTATGCCTCAACAGATGTGCGATTTTGTTTACTAAATTAGTTTTTTTGAGCATACAAAATAGGAATTTAAGATTAGCAAGCTGATTCACAGCATTTATTTGAGGAATTTATTTCATAAATATTTTTGTGTTTGCTATTTGCGATATTCCCAACTGAGAAATTAGGAACTTCAGGTGGGAATTTATTAGGTTTACAACAAAAACGGTTTGTTTGAGAGATAAATTTTCTTCCTCTTCTTTAATTAGATCAGTCTGTAGCACATTTAAGGGAATAGCAACAATTTCCTTTTGACATGAATTCTCTACTAAATGAACAAATGATAGATCTAATTAATTCGAATTTCACTTTAATTTTAATAACAATCAATATAATTGACACTATGAGCATACTTACACCGATAGTAATCAATCTCTAATGCTAATTCGGCAAGTTCTTCTTGTATTAATTCTATAGCCACACTCACTCCGTGTTCCAACTGTTCTGCCAGTTCTTCTCCTTGTTGACTCATTTTTTACCAGAGAGCATCACCCTTTCGTTGTTGAGATACCGGATGACCGGATTCTTGATCATCACCTAGTATTTCCAATTCTGCATTTATTCTTTCAATTTCAAACTTATTATTATTCCTCTCTCGATAACTTTTGGTTTGAAAATTTCTCATCTGCTAGTAGTAATTTCCCATCAATTCTTTTAACTATTACGTCATTTCTCTGTATTAACAATTTGGCCGCTAGCGTTGGATTACTATGTGATAGCCATTCTGTTAATGATCATAAGTTTCATAAGTTGTTTCGATTTTGACAACTCCTTTGACATACTAAGCTAAATTGTTGTTGGAATCTTCGTTTCAAAGTGTCAAGCCTTATATTGTCCGGATCGGTTGTTTTCTCTCGATTGATCTCCGCCATAAGCGATTGATTTCTCGGTTTTCAGTTTTTTAGTTATGTAATCGGGGTCACCATTCTCCATATCAACAATATCTCCTTTTATCGGATGTGGATCATGCAACAAAAAAAAGAATCAATATTTCTTCCGTTATTAAATCTTTATTTTAAATCTAGACAGTACATTATTAATATCATTAATTACATAAAATAGTAAAAACCACAAAATAAAAGAAAACTATCGAAATATATTAGCCATCCTTCAGCTGACATTTGTCGTTAATCCTTCACGATTCAAATTCTTGGTCTTATATAGCCGTATCTATTTGGAGTTTTCCTCTGTAACCTCTGCTTCATTAGATTGGTGACCTGCAGAATCATATTTTGTTCATTTTGTCATGTTGTCGATGTCTTCAGTTATCTCTAATGGAACTATTAAGTTGATTGGTCGACTCGTTGTCCGGTTGTTAGCCAATTTCAATAAAACTTCTTGCGTTATCTTGCCATCGGAACTTCGATGTAGATCTATGATTCTAGCCAACTTCCGCAGCGATCTTGGAGTAGTATCTACCAGAATAACATTTATCGGAGGTGATTGCTTTGTGGTTACTCTTGATTGATTGTGGTAAACTCGTCTATCGCGCAAAGTTTTTATATTTTCTGTGCCATGAATTCCAAAAATATGCGATTATTCTAGTATCACTTCGTCCAATTTTCAATAATTTGATCTCTCGTGTTTTTATTTTCTATCTTGTTTTTTTTTTCTTGTCTAGACCGTGTTGCTTTACGATCCATGGCGTATTTGTTGCATAAGTAAGCTACATGGGACAAACAAAATCAAAATTTTCTCTCGTTATGAAGCAAAATGGTCGCTTGTTTACCACAGCTGCGATCTCATACAAAAGGGTTCTGAATCGATCTCGATCTATGATTCTATTCCCTACTATCAATGTCCATTTCATAATTCCAATTAAACGTTCCACCAACCCATGGGGCCTACTTGGGAATGAATTTCCATTCCATTTCCGCTATATCAGCTTGTATCTCGTATTGTGTCTTTTGATAGAGTAAAGTTTTTTGTATTGTCTGATAGTAACGATTTCGGTTCCCCTATGAGCGCGATGAAATTTCTTTCTGCTTTCTAAGTGAATCGTTCTTGTGGCAAGGCAAGTAAATAAGGCGACCCAATTTTTCACTTTGTAACCATCTTTTTTTATCCAAATCTGGCCCGCCAAGTCTATTCAGATATGTGAAAAAGGTGCATTCCGATTAATCGTATTTGTGGAAATTTATTCATCTTTGGTAACTCGAATTGCTTGACTCTCCATTTTTTACAATATGCATTCATTGTTGATAATTTTTTCAATTGTTTGAGTGCGTTTAGGTATCCAATAAGTTTCGATTATGGAACATACTACTGTGCCCGTTGATGCATGGTGTTTGACCACAACAATTAATTTGGTTATTCGGTGATTTCTAGGTAAGAAGATCAGTGGTTGTTCGAATCTTGCTTTTATAACCCACAAATCGTTTCAAATGCTGTCCATCCTTCATAACGCACCTTCAACAAATGTGTTCTTTAGTATGGAAAAAAGAAATATTACCAGATGATTGGAGCAAAGCAATTCTGCTCCCAATGCTCCCAAGAAAGGTGATAGGACATACTGCGACAATTATCGAGGAATCAGCCTACTAGACGTCTCAGCAAAAATTTTTGCTTCCGTGCTACTCAACAGACTTATGGAAGTACGGGATAGCAGGATGTACCCTAATCAAGCTGGTTTCAGACCAAGGCGCGGTTGTGCTGACCAGATATTCACGTTAAGAAGGGTATTGGAACATCGCTTCAGATATTTGCAACCCACTGTCACGCGTTTCGTCAACATTGCGAGTACCTTTGATTCAATTGATAGAGCGGCGCTTTGGAGAGTGATGGAACGTGATGGTGTTCCAGATAAAATCATTGGACTCATAAAGGCATTTTATAAGTGCACGTCGGCGCAGGTCTGTGTTTATGGGGAGCTTCGAAACAAGAACAGGTGTGCGTCAAGGCTGCGTCCTTTCCCCCACAATATTCAACTATGCGATAGACTGAATAATGGACACTACTTGTCGGCTCAAGAGATGTCCGAATTTGTCTAGAGCATCGTATCACAGATCTTGAATACGCTGATGATGTAGTCCTTTTTGCTGACAATTATAACGAAATGCAAGTAATACTAAATGACGTGTCAGAGACTGCAGCAAGAACCGGACTCAGGATCAATGCAAATAAAACGAAAGCCTTTTCGTCTTATGTGCAAAAAGCTGATAAAATGCCTCTTTTAAATTCATTGCCGGTTGAGGAACTGTCCAATTTGAAATACCTTGGGTCCACTCTAATACCAAATGGACAGGCAAAAGATGATATTACAACTCGGATCACGGCAGCTAGAAATGCGTTCTTCCGATTGACGAAATCTTTATGGAATCGTCGTGAAATCACCATAAAAACGAAAGTCCGCATCTATATTGCCGTGATCCGTTCGATTTTACTATATGGTTCTGAGACATGGCCAGTGAGAGTGGAGAATATTAAGAAGTTATCTGCCTTTGATCACTCTTGACTAAGGATCCGTCGAGAGGATAAGATATCACAAGATTGCATCCATCTTCGTTCAAATACCACTTGCATAAATAATGTTATTACAGAGCGAGCGCCGCCTTCGCTGTTTAGTGCATATATTTCTCTACAGGAGTAGACGCATATTTCGTTATTTGTGATGGTTGGCGGCGTCAAAAGCGAGATAGGCCAATCAAGACCTGGACTGATAACTTTCTCAAGGAAAAGTGCAGAAAAAGTTATATTGTATTCTATCCCATCTGCTAATTTTCGATGTCTACAAATCAGATAATTTTTTTATAAATCTTAGTAATGGAATAATTCAAGGCCTGGACTGAGAAGGTGAGAAAAGATTTTGAACGTATAGGTGGACCAGCAATATATGGACTTAGACAATGGAAAAAAGAATGGCTTCCATTATTGTCGACGCGCTGCTTGGAAGCGTCTTACTCGTGTAGCCGTTGGAGCCTGCCTAACCAGTAATGGTCCGAATCGTTTTCAATTAGTATGCCAAATTTATGGATGTCTTCTTCCTTTATGTCGTCTCCTTGAGGTTGTCGTATTTCGTGTGCAGTTATTGGACTCGTTAAATTCTCCCGATTGCAGTAATCTCGTTAGTATCTCTTGGATTTGGAATTTGACAATCGTAGATATTCTCCAAATTCGATAATCTTTTTAATAAAATGCTGTACAGTTGTTTCAGAATATAAAATAGCGTAAATAGCCTTTTTTTATCGAATTCGTAGTCTTTGTTACTCGTTCACTAACTGAGCCCTCAAAAAAAAAAAAAAAAGAATCAATATTCTTTCTTCCGCTACTATATTATCGTTTGATGTGTACCTCAAACTTGGGTAATTAAACCTTTATTTTAAATCTAGGCAATACAGAACATCATAAAATAATAAAAACCACTAAATAAAACTATCGAAATGTAATAGCCACATCAGCTGATATTTGTCGCTAATTCTTCACGATTCAAATTCTTGGTCTTATATAGCCGTATCCATTTGGAGGTCACCTCTGTAAATGCACTGCTCTAGTAGTAAACATGTAAAAAAATTGTAAAGAAAGTAACCCATTTATTTGTGATTCCGTTTCTGTTTTGACGGGGGCCTAAATAATCCAAGCTAACTCGTGCAAATATTCGTTTTACTCGAAATACTGGATAATTAGGCATAGTTGGCCGTTTAAATGGTTTTACCTTCCATCGTTTATATCCCATGCATTTATTCAAAACTCTTTCTGTTCTTCCTTTGGGTATCCAAAACTTTTTTCTTAAACTTGAGATCCGTATGAGCCGTTCCAGCATAAAACATTTCTTCGAGTTGTTATATAAAAATTTCCGTTATGCGATTATGTCTAGGAAGATATATGGGATGCAATCCTTGTTCGTCTAATTCTGGGTTTTCTAGACGGCTTTTAGATTTCCATACTCCCTTTCCATAGTATAGATTCCATTTAATTATTTCTTCTTCCGTTCGATTCTGCTTTAGATTGGGCTTGTTTAATTAATATATTCATTCATAATCATCGACATCGAGTCGATTCTTCCCTGATGAAGGAGTAACCAAGAAATTCTTTGCTTGGATGTCAAATTTAAGAATTTCAAGGCCCATGCCGTTGCTCTTATCAATCTCGTCCATTTGCTGAATCTTGTTGCATCGATTAATTTAATGGTCTTATTAATAGTAATGTGCGCAACGGTCTTCTTATTTTTTCTTCGCTTTCACTTTCAAACTTTGTAAACTTCAATATTGTATCAATATTGTATTCCCAATGTGGCCAGTCTGATTTTTCGTTTGTTAACCAATCTGGTCCATTCCACCATAGTTCAAATCCTGTGAGTTGAAGTGGAGAGAGTCCTCTGATAGCCACACCACATCTGCTGGATTACATTCATTGGAATATAGCGAAATGTACTTTGCTTGTCGTATCTCTTCAACTCGATTTTGAGCGAATTTTGGTAGTAGACGAGAATGATTTTATATCCAGTGTAATGCATATTCGGAGTCTGAATCTCCATAAGGTGACATCATTATTCTCTAATTCCATTTGTTTAATAACAAATTGAATAGCACGTACTCCTATGAGCACGGCTAATTCTTGGGAGTCGTACCTTTGATGGAGCAAATCGCGACTTGGCGAAAACCAAAGAAGCTTTCTCATCCTGAATAACGTATACTGAAGCAGCGAACTGGAAGCGTGTGAGAAAACATCAATTTTTATAAATTATGATAGGTCAATTGCGACATGTGGTATTTCTTTCAGATATATTGGCCATCCGCAATAAGATCTTTCATGCTTATTGATTGGTCAACTTACTTTCTTTTTCCAAAGATTTTGAAGAAACAGTTTGATCGGCATTATACTTGGAATTAGGAACCCTAAGGATCATATCGAAAAGCTAAGAACTATAATATCGTCCAATTTTTTAGGGTTATTTGAATAATGCCGGGCTTCCATTTAATACCAAGAATCTTTTTAAACTCACTCACTTGTCTCTACTCGGTCCTGTTCAGCAATCTTGGAATTAAATTCTTTGTCGTTTGCTAAAAATTCCCTAACATTCATCGAAGCATTGTTAAAGATGATTTCATTTTTTGATACTTATGAAGAGCTTCATCGATACCCTTGGTTATTACTATAATTTGTCGATATAGAAATTTTTTCTGATCTCATTGGCGAGCTCATTGCTGTAATTCTTCAAGTGATAGTTAAGTGTAGCCGATAATAAAAATGGTGAAGATATCACTCCGAATGGGACTCGTTCAAGTCGATAATGTTCAATATTATCTTCCGTTGCCTGTCCTCGTATATCCTTTAACCAAAAGAATCGTGTGCAGTTTCTTTTTGTTGGCGGTAACTCCAGTTGTAAAAAGGTCTTTTCAATATCTGCTACCATTACGAATTCCATCATTTGGAAATGAAGCAGTACTCTTACTAAATCGGGAAGAGTTATGGGTCCCCGATACAATACATCGTTTAAGCTCTTTTACCCCCTTTAGTGTAAGGATGCATAAACAATTCTAAGTTTGGTTGTAGCCTTACTTCGAGTTATGATTTCATGGTGAGGGAGATAATGAATAATACCAGCCTGGTCTATTTCTGGACTACCTTCTCGATAATGTTGGATTGAAACTGATTACGAATCTGCAGGATGATTAAGAATCGTTTCGTCGCATTCGAAAAGTAAGCGTTCATTGTTCTGAAGTCGTTTAATTAAAGATTTTAAGCGACCATAATTATCGTTTAACTTGATTCTTGATTCTTTCCAATCGAATAAAACTACGACTTTATTCGAAACCTCTGGTATATCTAAATTAATTACTTAAACCTCTTTACATTCTCTATAATTTTGTCTCAAATGTTTTATTACTGAGTTGATTACCTTTTCCGAGTTTGTCTTTTCTTTGATTGGACCGACTGACTGAGCTCAAACGTTATATTTAGTGTAGCATAATGCGGTATTGTATTATGACGACCTTTGCAATGGAAACAAATACTTTTTCTTTTTTTGCAATTGATTTCCGTATCCTGGTTGAAGACAATTCAGACAAGCGTTGTTTTCCTTTAGTTGTTGCATTTTTTGTTCTAGACTAGAATAAGTTTGGCATTCATTATCCCAGTGATTCTTATTGCAAAAAATACAAGGTCTTTGAGTTTTATTAACCTTCTTCGTATTATTAACTTTTGTTTTGTAGTTGTATATTTGCGGAGTCGTTATAGTTAGAGCTAAAGTTTCTTCTGGAAAATATCGTGGATTAATTTCACCTTTAGCTGCTTCATGATGTTGGCTTCTCGTAACCTCTTTCTTTGAATCAGTTTCGTTAAGAATTGTTTTAATCTCTGACCACATTTCTTGTTCCTCCCATTGTCGATATATTCTATCCAGAATCCAGGTTGACAGTTTATTTTCAATGATAATTTCAATACTGAATTGTTCAAGATTTTCGCCCATTGCTTCAAGTTGTCGAAGTATTCTTTCGATAGCCTCTATTTACTTACCTTTACTTTCCATTCTCGGTTATCCTTCTTGATGGAATGTAAGCAATTTTTGTAGTGCAATTTTTTAATGATGTATGATTGCCCAAATTTTTCAATAATTGGTTGCCTCTTTATTTCGCCTTGTTTAAGGGTTGGAGTACTGAGTCATTTGTATATGCAGTTAAGGTTGTAATGATTTCTCTATTTTTATTTATTAAGTACCTTTTAAGTACCTTTTCTATCTTCGACCATTTGGGCGTATTTATCCTCCTCTTGTTATTTCTCTTTTGCTGGAATTTTTGGTGAATGTATTGGTTTCATTTAGTATTAATGGTTTCGAGTGTGCCAATATGCAGCTTGAGACGCATTATTTTTTTCTTCATTATTTTTATTTTTTCGAGTCTCGTGCAGTTGCAGGTTTTTTCTCTGTTCAGCATTTGATCCAACGGTGTCAGATCCATTCCTTTGACTTTCTTGAGAAGAGCCTTTGCCGGGTATGCGCTGAGAATTATTTTTGGTTTTCATTCCGGGTTTTCATGTTCCGGGCTCTTGACACCAATAAATTTTGTTGGGGAGAGATTCCAGAGAGAATGAATTAACAGTGTTCAGTACAAGAAGTCGGACAGACGAAACTTCACTCGGGAAGGATTTTTCAGTTGTTGGTCTAATGGTTTACCTTTTGTACCCAAGTAGACTAAGAATTTCTTTCTTTTATTATAACATAAATTAAAACAATAAAGATAAAAATAAAAATTAAAGGGTTTGTATAAATAAAAAACAAATAAGAGAAAAAAACGGAGAGAAAGTGTGTATTACAAAAACTGTTATTTGATTATGCCTTAATAGATGTGAGATTTTGTATGCTAAATTAATTTTTTTTCAGTATACAAAAAAGAAATTAGAATTTAAGATTAGCAAGCTGGTTCATAGCATTTGTTTGAGGAATTTATTTTTGTATTTGCTATTAGCCATATCAATGGGTGATTTCCGATTCCAGTAATCATCGCTAGGAATAAAAAAAATTAAGTGATATTTATGCTATACATGAATTCATATTTATTAATAATATATTTCTCTTATAAATGAATTAATAATGGCTGAAATTTATCAAAGAATGCCTTTGAAAAATTTAAAATTAAGGGAGTTAAAATTAAGAGAATATCGAAGATTTCTTAATTATTATAGATTACCTTTTTTGATTTTTCGATTCAACGTGCAACGCCATTTTTGGTTTTCATTGAAGGTCGCCGCTTTTTTTAATTTTAATTTAATTTAATTTAAAATTTAAAATTTAAAATTAAAATTCAAAATTTAAATTAAATTCTAAATTAAAATTAAAATTTTAAAATTCTACTTTATTTTGGCACATTTAAAAGGCTGAGTTTTGCTATGCAATTTAAATATTTAAATATTTTGATATTTAAATATTAAATAAATAAATATTTTCAACTGATTTAAACTGTAATAAATTGGACTTTTCTTTATATATTTTGTTGCCTTCAAAAGAGAAAGTCTGTTCAGTTGGCCTATTTATACGAATTTTATTTCATTAATCACATAGCGATTCGGTCTAAGTTTCAGATGTAACTTGTCAGTTACACTAGAAAAGTTCCGAAAGTTTTCACAAAGTTATTCTGAGCAATTGACAATTGGTCTCTGTGGACGTGCTAAATTTCGATATCTATTTTCTAGAACTGTATGCAAGTTAAGCGCAAATTTATCAGTATCGACTCCATTTATCCAAAAAATCGTAATTTTTTGCCATTTGCAGCGATGGCCGCAGTTATGAGTGTTGTAATTTTTGGCTTGATAACATTAGGTATCGTTATTGGCTTTCTCTCAATTGGTTTGGTGATTTTTACGGTATTTAAAACAAAATTGTATCGCTCAAAACAATTTTTAAATCCTTTCAATGAAAAAGAGAGTTTAAAAAAGAACAATGAAAGAAATGAAGGTAGGTTCCTTTTATATAACTCTCATAAAAAAAAAGTTATTTCCACTAGCTATTAGTGCGGCTGAAAATTTTTTGCTACGCGGTCCCTTGGCAATGAAATACAGATAATTCGATAGCAATCAGCACTCAGATTTATTCCTCTTTATCTTTTATCTTATCATTTATTTACCATTACTGGCTGTTTTATCATCGTTTAAATGCATCTTCTAAAATTTTAAAAAAATTTATCTTAAAAATATACCGTATTAGCAAGAGTATCACTGTTATATGGTCGTCGGTGCATATTTGAATCTACTCTCAATTCATTTTGTTTAAAGCATTATGACTGACTAACTTTATATGAAAGGTTTGTCGTAAGCATACAGTTTTTTCAGGCCAGAAGTTCAATTCTGTTTTTTGATACAAACAAATTTAGTTAATGGTTAGCGCAACAAGCCAAACCAGAATTGATAAATGCTGCTCGAAGAAGACTTTATAGGACAATTTGAAAAATTTATAAAAAATAAACTGGATTCAAAAGAATGTTTGCTGGTTAATTTTAGAAGAACGACGAATGTCCTTAAAAAAAGAAAAAATGGTGGCACAATTTTTAATTTTAAGGGTGAATGAACTTCTTTAGACTTAAGTAATTTTAAAGAACACAAAAGAAATTGATTCACCAAGAATCATCCATTAAATAACAGTTTTTAATGATTTTTTTCATAAGAGTTTATCTCTTAAAACTATGAGACATGAATCAGAAAAAATTGCTCCACCTAAGTATCATCATTCGTCTTCTTTTCCTTCCAGTATTCATATTTGTTTCGATTTGCTTGAAATTCACAGTGGACTTAACTGTCATTATTAGTTACTTATGGATAGAAGCACGGATAGGTGAGTTTTTAGCACCTCGTGAAATTGTCATAAATCAATTAGCAGCGAATTCTAAATTCTAAATTTGGAATTATCCGAATTAGGATTGATTGATTTTTTATCTCTCCTTTTTTTCAGTTTGGATAACCACTATTATTGAATTTAGCTTACGAAAAAATATGAAAAATTTCAGGAATTTATGTCGATTATCTTACGTTCGACAGTTTTGCTTCAAAAAGTGCGAATATTAACAGTGTTTTATCGTTCCAGAAGAAAAATTCGCTTGAAATAAAAAGAAAATTTTCTGAACTTCAGAAAAATAATTGCTCTTTAAATAAGGTAAATTTATCGTATTGTTCTGTATATAAACAGGTATACTAAAGTAAAATACATTATGGAAAGAGTTTGGCCAAACATGCATTTCCTAGATTCGCCATTCGTTTACTATAACTAACAGGAATAAACCTTTAAAAAATCGAGGCTTGTTAAATACTTATTTCCACGTGACTTTCTGGTAAGGTCTTGTGCTTATAGCTTGTGGAACGATTCTAACCAGAGATAATGAGTGCTAACCATTTCTTTATTTATTTATCAAAAATAAAGTAATATTAAAAGTAATATATCCTTCGACATGTAATTTCCTTTCTGATATAGCTCATGAGTAAATCCATTAGGCTCAATTTGGTCTATTTATTACATTATGAAACCAATTATTATCTAATTTGGACAGAAAGAAGGCAAACGGTAGGAGTTGAATTGCTTCATTTGTGCTAACGATGTATGTGCTGAGTTATACTAAGCTTTTCCAAGATTTTTTCATTTTTTTTCAGAAAGATTTTTATTTAGAAAAATTTTTGGAGAAATTCGAATACGAAACTTTTCTCACAAACTGTCAAAGAGCGAAATTTTAATGATCGCAACTGTTTCAGTTTCAAATTCCAGTTTCAAATCGAATCCTTAGTAAAGAATCGGAGGTGCTTTTGCAACCAAATAATATCCATGTCTTGCACTATTCTACAAGCAATAAAAATGCATCTATAACAGCAATTCCTTTATCGACATTTTCTAATCCACCTGAAAAAACTTTTCATGATCAAAGAAATGCAGATTTTGTTGAAAGCCCTTCTTCGATAAACGAAAAACCTTATGTGAAAATAATATTTAGTTCGTTATTTGATGTGTCTCCATCATCCGATTGTTAGCATGAAGTGTGTTCTTTATTTATTTATTTCTATCCCGGTTTATTTCAAATTTTCATTAGAATTATGTGTATAGATATATAATTCAGGCTCAAACATGTGTTTTATTATCTTAAAATTGTGTTTTGTTATCTTAAAATCATTCATTCTTGACCCTTCTCTTCTTGGCACTAAGATTTATAAAAAAATTATCTGATTTGTAGTTTGATTTCCATGATGGAAATTGATCAATGACATCGAAAATTAGCAGATGGGATAGAATACAATATAACTTTTTCTGCACTTTTCCTTGAGAAAGTTATCTATGCCAGATATCGCCTATTTTATCCAAAATTAAATGGTCTCGATGGCTATAATTCATTTTTCAAATATTTATTTCTACCTCGATTTTTTTGGCTATTATATTATATTACATAGCCAATGATTGCAAGCAATATTATGGCTTGATCCACATTCCACGAATGAACCTATCAGAATCTGAGTGCTAGATATAGACTTGTAATTCTATTCCAGAATAACATTCTGGTATAATTGGTTCATCGCACGAATAGCTAATGAAAATTGATGAAATATGAAATCTAATGACTTTACCAAAAAATATCTTTTAAAATGAAATTGCTATCTTTATTCTAAGAAAATAGGTAAAGCAAATTTAAAAAATTCAAAAATCTCTCTGATCAAAACTATTATCTCATAATAATCTACGGCATTTAATTAATTCAACAAAATCTCAAGTAGTTAGTTATATGCAAATTTTCTTTTCGCTGAAAATTATTCTATTTTTAGTATATTTTAGTAATGACATAGTAATGACTTTAGTAATAATAAAAACTGCCCTTACTATTTCTAGTTTGACTAGCTTCAAACTAGAAATAAGGTGAGGTCGTTGGAGATAAAAATATCGGTAGATTTTCAGCATCACTGGATTTTAACTTATATAATTTATCTATCATAGGAAAAGGATGGGAATGAACTTAAAACCTTATCACCTCAAGCCAATATATCACTCATTATTCCTTCCTTACAAATATAATTACCTTTATTGGTGATTAAATTTCATTCAACTTTTACAAAATTATAATAATTTATTTTGGTCGAGGCTAGCAAAAAAAAAAAATCCACCTGCTTTATCTCTACGACAAGAAGACTGAATGAAAATTTTCCATTCATACGTGTACAAACATAATGAAGGTTTTTCATTATTATACGATGCATATTTAATTATTCCATTATTTAAAGCTGTTAATCCAATTATATATTATATAATGCAGCAGGTGCTTAGTAATAACTTACTAGAGTCAGAAAAAAGTATGCAAAACCAAAGTTTACCAATATTTGATGAGAGTCAACATTGGCTTCTGCATTGGCGTTTTTCCGCTTTTCTTTTATTTTATCCAAGTGGATGCCATTTTAGACATCGTTATTCAGCATCAGTGGCTGGCAGAGGAAAATCATTTATTAAAAAATTCGGATAATGCTGGGGATTAATCTAGTTCTATTCTACAAGTTGGTTTCGATTGGCTCAGTGAGTTTCTTACCCTCATGAAATACCAATACTGGGACTCTTGCAAAAATTAGATGATGCTGGCAATTTGTATTTCTGTATCCAAGTAACTGGCAAAATTTATCTCATCTGCTTAGCCAGAACGAGCAAAGAGATGGTAAACATTCTCAGAAAAAAGCACGAGTGATTCTCTGACGTGACTGTGCTAAAAGTAAACAAACCAGAAGTTATGAGTATTAAGCATTAATTTTAATTTTAGTTTAAAAAAAAGGGGGGCACCATAACCATCAACAAAATGAAATAAGAATGTGATAAGTAGAAATGAATGCTGGACATTATCCTTAGTTTCTTTAATTTTTTTTTCATCTATATTTCTTCGTTTCAAGCTTTGGCAGAGACATAAAATATTTAAAATGCATAAATATAAATAAATAAATATTTATTCTTCGACGGCGGATATCCATGTCCAAGGATTCATATGTTAAAATCAAATAAATTCTTATTATATAGGTACAAACCAAACATCATGTGTGCCATCTATGACTCACCTAATTTCACAGGTTGATAGGAAGAAATCATTTGGCTCAGCTGAGAATAAAAGTACAAATGGATTCTTGGATTCGACTTTGCTGGGCAGATTTACTCTAAAGTGGCTGGAATCGAGATGTCTTGATTCCTCTCAAGTTATTTCCCACTGTTACTCTTATAATCTTGTTTTTTTTACGCGATTTCTTAAAATTTCAAATATTGAATCTTAAATAAATATGGAATTTGTATTTTCTTTGCTGAAATTTTGCTGAATATTATTCATCTGTAAACTTTTAATTTGTAAACTTTATAAACTTTTAATTTCGGGAATTGTGATTAAAAACAAAGTCCATTACGTTCGTTAGCCTTAATCCTGTTTATTTGAGCTCTTTCTTTCACCGCATTTTCAGTTTGTATGACAGTTTCTATCCTTGTAAAAATATTTACATTTCACTTATTTGCTGCTTCCATAGGACTTGCCTTATCAATTTATTTACTCATAATTTCTTTAACTCACGTAAGCGATGCTAGATTCAAATGGTATACATTAAATATGCTTGTGGCATCTATATCAGTCGACCTATTCGAAGTATTAGAACACATGTTATCCGACCGTTTCAAGGATGGCTTCTTTATGTGGTAAGTTTTTTTCCTATTTTTCTATTCCTGAGAATTCTAATATTTATTATATGATTTAGTCAGTCAGATGAATTGAGCTTTTTTAATCTGGATAAATAAGTGGTTGAGCGCCTACTATTTCTCGTTAAATTCTCTTTGCTAACAATTGGTACGATTAAAATAATTGCTAAAAATGTTGATCGAAGAAGGTAGATCATCAACATAATCCAGATTTTCCGATAGGTTTTTACCAAAGATAGGAGAAGTTCAGCCATTGACATGAATGAGCTTTTCACCACTCAGTTATCCTCCTAATAAAATTAACCATGCTTGGCAGTTCTTTCACGAAATATTCTGGAACCAATAATCATTGTTCTATGACCAGCATGGTTAAATTATATTCATTAAATACATTGAAGAATTAAGCTATAGAAGAGCCTATACGTCCAGTAACAATCGAAGCGACAAATGAGAAATAATTTCAGGACAATTCTGGATGACTATTTACCTTTGTGGGTCGTCACACAATTTCGCGTATTATCCGTCTCAGCTATTTTCGAAATATTTGCAATATATAAAGGGTTTTTTAAAGTTGCAAATTTTTTTGAATGCAGGTTTATTATCTCTTCCATTATCATTCCCTTGCGAATTATCATTTATTGTCATTATTGTTACTACCATATCATCAATAATTTGGCTTTTATATCATTTGAGATCCTCGTGAAACGAAAAGAGTATTCGAAGCTAAAATTTCGCCATCTTCGCAAGATTTTGAAGCCCATTCCTTTAATAAAACGTAATGTTGAAATAGACTGGAAATAAATTGAAACAAATTAACTAATGAATAAAATTTTTCATTCACATTGTGGCGATAATCCTTTATATGCTTTATCTCTTATCGATGGGGAATTTCTGCATTAATTTGATCTGTAGATATCCAGGAAACAATATTTTGTTATAATTATTATATTTAATGATAAATATAATTATATAATATTAGGTAGTCATAAATATTTGTTTCAATGAAAAATATTTAATGATAACGTATATATGGAAAAATACCAGGAGATGGTTGCTGTACTGTATATTGCATGTCATTACACAAGGAATTTGCTTAACTTATGTCGCATGTGCGTTCATTCCGAACTTATCGGTTCGATTTCGGACCGGATTCGCCAGCGTATCGACCTTGTTATTATATTTAGCGTCGGCAATTCTTTCAATCTTAGTTACTAATTCATTTATTCATTTTTGCTGTGAAAAGTGGGAAAAAAGGTCAGCTTAAGCTGTCGAATTTTTATCATAATTTGTCGTAATTTTTTTACGAGAGGAAAGTTTGTTGGCAACTAACTTTGGGTTTATCTTTATAGCATCATCTTTATTTCACCTTTTTTTCCTTTCTAGGCAATATTTTCGATCTGTAGATATCCAGGAAATAATAATATGCCTTTGCAAAAAAAGCGGCTAGTGGCATTTCTGCTATATTCTTGCCCATCGAACCTGTTGGACTTACCATGTATAGGTGAAAATTTTATGCTATTTTCCAGGAATTATAATAACGATTAGGAAGGTATCGATTAGTATAATTAAAAAGAAATATTAGCGATTTTTCAAACTAATACGTATAAAATTAAAATGAAATTCCTTATTTTAACCAAATTTTCAGTCCTCTCTACTCTTTGTCTTTTGAAAAGTTTTACTCCTGGAATCGATCTGCCAGTAATTGACGAACTCTTGGTTCCTGTATCTGTAACTGATTCAGTAAGAGTAAAGATCGTTTTTCAAACATAAATATTGCACTCATTATTTCTAGTTAAGCTGGTTCCTCTCATTGTTAGGGTGAGTAACTTTTCGCCAAAAAACCAATTGTACGTAGAAACACGCGAGATTTATAACAAATTTCGAAAAATAAATTTCAAAAAACCAAAATCCTGCATGATAAAAATCTTCAAAGATTAGAGCAACGATTAATATAATATAATATAATATAATATAATATATAATATAATATAATATAATATAATATAATATAATATAATATAATATAATATAATAAAGGATTTTTTTCTTGAAAATTTTTGAACTCTTTTCAAAAAACCTAGAGAATTTTTCAAGAGTTGAGTATTGTGTAAGAGTTACTATGCCAGTGCTGGTTTTTTTATCGAGCTGCACCTTTCGTTACATCGCTTTAGACAATAAAATTTAGGGGTTTTTCAGTATATTACCATATTGTTACTAAATTATCATATTATTATAAAAGTGGTTTTGGCTGGAAGGCTTCACTGTCTATAAGTCACTGAAAGTTCTTAAATTTTGCTTTAAAAATCACTGGTACATAATAAAATATAATATACTTGAATAAAAGCAATATGCTTAGAAGGGCTGCTAGGGATGCTGGCCTTTAATAAAACAATTTACCTTAGTACGAAAGATAGTTCCTAATATGTTAAGAAAATTTTCACTTAGCTGCGAACAGTGACATTGTCCTTATCTACTATATGTTCATTCCCAGCATATCGGACGATTACATTGCGATTATTCGGTCTTAAACGAAATAACATCATTTTCATCACTGTAAAACCAGCAAAAGGATAAGCTGAGGCAAGTCACAGAGCTATCTTTTTTATTTCCCATATGTTAAGATTTAAGAAGAGCAACTTATAATTTTTGTTTTCAGTGCATAAAAAAAGCCTCCAAAAAGGGCCTTGAAGGTTGATAAAAACTATTTATTTGTTATTGATATGATTAATGAAAAAAATTTTCAGAAAACAATATTTTCGTCAAGTGGGATCCATCGTTTTAAATAATAATCTAAGGCTCCGGATTTTCTCGGTTGATAACGACCCATATGAAGCGGTGAATTTTTTCGTCGATAGAAAACAGGCTTTGGAGTGATCACATAAGCTATCCACCATCCATTCGTTGATGTTGATGATGTTAATAGGATACTATCGCAAACCATCATTCCAAAACATATATCAACTGCCGGATCTTCATTCATTTCATGTATATATACTTTAGTTGAGGCCTTAAAAAGTGGTGCGAAGACAAAAAAGTAGAAAATTTAAATAAATAATCGAAAATCTATCTCAAAGTCCTCATATAACGATTATTTTATTCGCTTTCTTTTTTGCAAATATTAAAAAATATTATATAGAATATATATGCTTAGCATAATACAACATAACTCAAAATTGTTTTCATCATTTACATTCGCTCATTTCAATTGAAGGAATTAAAATTTGAATTTATTTTTCATTTGCATTCAAAATCAAATCATCATAGGTTCTTTTCCTTTTTCTTAATGATTGTAAGCTGCCAGTAAAAGTGAAATCCCAGTAGTGAATTAAGGGCCGGCCTTTTATCTCCTAATGACTATCTGTGACCGAAGATATCCTGACAGCCAGTAAAAGTAGCAAAGTAGAAATGATTAATGCTTTAGAAAAAGGAGAATCTATTTTTTTGCATTCATTTTTACTTGAGCTCGCCGCTGCATTAGTTGCAATTGGCTAATAGAAAATTTTTGCAAAAAAGTTAGTTGGGAATAGAAATATAGACATTTCAGCTCGGCTTTTTGAAGGTTAGTTTCTATTTGGAACAGAATCCTAGCATCAGCGAGTCGGCGATGGAAATTAACTACCTACTGAACCATTCTACTTCTTTACCAGGAAAAAAAGGAAAAAGAAAAGTTATAATTTTTAAATACTAATATTTTAATGGCAAGAATTGGCAGTTGCATGGTTGTATACATACTTTTCGCATAGTTGTTTGCTAAGAAAATTTCGGTATTTTCCCAATATGGTGCATTTTGATCGCGGATTGTTTATTGGAGCTTTTTGCTTGCTTTTCTTATAAAGCATTTTATTCTCTTCTCCCACCATTACTTCAACTCATTCCTAAATAATTCAAGCCTATGCCCAATCTTAAATCTAAAACTCGACCAACACTAAAACTTAAAATTTATTTATGATGCTATCTTTATCTTGAAATTGTTCGAAAATTTTCAGTTTCTATACAAACCAAATTTTTATATAGCGATTTGTTTGCAAATAGATTTTCAACCCATCGTGGACCATCACCGATAGCCACAACTGATAAATTACTGTGGTTTTTCTGAAATATATAGATAAATTAATATAGGACATTCTTTATACCGATTAAAAAGATACATCATAAAATAGAAATTATAGAAAAACATAAGCTAAATTCCTGCTAAAGATCATAATCCCATTCCTGCCTTCCCAATATGAATTTTTATATGTTTGAGGGACACATATTTCACTCACGGCAGAAATACCTAGTTTGAAAAGATCTAGGTGAGACTAGCAATTTATTTATGCTGTGCTTGTATCGCTAATTGCTAATTGACTAGCAATTTATTTATGCTGTGCTTGTATCGCTAATTGACTCCCTTGCAAGAATTTATTCAGTACACGAGCCAGCTTTTTTCGAGCTTTTTTAAATAATTTGTTTTATCTTTTAATGCTCGATGTGTCTATACGTTTTATCCCGTTTTGTCTTTCAATAAAAAATCATGCGATACATACTCAATTTTTGGTAAGGTGGCCGTTTATTATCGGAAAATATTAGAATTTTTGAATGATTTGAATCGAAGTCGTCATAAAATGCTTCTATCGAAAAAAAAAATTTAACCACAATTTTTAAGGAACAGATTTAAAAAATATTGGTCTAATAACCTTCAATTTCTTGAGAACATAGTCTGTGCTGGATATCGTAAATCTTTCTTCGGATGGAAGGAAAATTGGATGGTTGACAAAATCACCCCGTCGTATGTGAACGCAGAACTTGTGACTTCCATCGCCCCTTCATAAATAAACCAATTTAAATTAACTTTTTAATATCTCAATATTTTTATTACACGAATAAAATAAAAAGGATAAAATAATGAAATTAGTTGAAACCACTGAATTAAAGGAAGGTAGTAACCACGCCATTTCTATTCCTAATTATCGTTTTGGTGAGTGGATCTTATCTTAACAGTCAGTAGAGCCAACTAAGCCAGGAATAATATATGCTAACAGAAGGAACAAATCTGGATACGCAAAAAATTTATTTAATAAATTTATTAAATTTATTCATTTATTTATTATAAATTTATAAAAATTTATGCAAAAAATTTATTTATTCAAAAAATTTAATAATTTATTTATTCAATTTAATAATTTATTTAATAATTTATTTATGTGTGGATCCTATTTATAAATTTTAAGTGAGGAACGATAATATTACCTAAATAAATTCTTTGCACTCTCCACTATTTTTGCCTGAATAGTTTGTGAGCAAGTCAGAAGATTTTTTATAACTGTTCTGTAATGATCAAAGTATTTAAAACTTTCGAAATATTTTCCAGTTGTCAATATATATTGCGCTTTGATGGATCGAAGTCTAAAAAAATTAATATCAAAAAATACAATTATTCCTGATAAGAGCAAGATCGTCGTCAAAAAATCTAGATGCTGGCAGCTTGTCAATAGCCTAATGAAAATTCTCTGGCGAAAATTTGTAATCAATAATTCGAACAAAAACTGAAATGATTTCTATAAAACTATGATGGAAAGATAAAGAAACTAACTTTTCTGGATTATCGAAACGTATGAAAGCTTCGCCAAACTGTACATATTGTAATTCCGTATTTTCAGGAAGTATCTGAATCGGCATTCGTTATTAATAATTTCTCTAACAAATGGTTTCTTCTCAAATGGTTTTTTATTTTAATAATGATTCTTTCTCTAAGAAATACTTACTTTAATACTGAAGGAATTTGCAAGAAAAGGAAAGCAATTATTCAAATATTTTAGATTTTTTAGCGATTCGACAGATTTTATCGAAATAAATGGAGTTCTTCCAATGGTCCTTCCAATTGCATATAATGACACAAATTGAAATAACTGTAAAAATTCATCAGTTCTTAATTTTCCTTCTCAAAAACCTTTATTTGCTTACTTTACACTGAATGATAATGATAAATCTAATCTTTAATATTCCAGATTATCTGCATGTACTTTTATCACCAATTAACTTTCGAAATTCGCATCTAATTTCAGATCATAGTAATCAGTAGAGTTCCATTTTTAGCCAATTATGTTTGCAGTGAAATTCATCAATTTAATTAAAATTACTTGATTTCCGAGACCATACTCAATCGCTGGTGCACCAATAAATTTTCTGCTGCTCTCTGTAATTGTCTTAGTATTTTTTTGCAAAAAATCATTTATTTAATATATTTGACTCAATGTTAAACTTTTCTGGTCAAATTATATGTGATAAGTTAAAAGTTTAAAGGTTAGTTGAAAAGGAGTGGCGAAAAATTCTTCGCTAGGAAAAAAGCCATTTTATTGCATTCTATATGCTATAATTGGATGATCAAATCATTAACTCGAAGTTGAAAACAAATTTCCGAACATAAAATTCAAAATTTCAGAAACGACCGACCACTCCAGTGACAATTAATTTTTATGAGCTAAAATTCATTGATTAAATCAGTTTACCCGATTTTTTTCGATGTTTGCTCCAGTCGATAATTAGCGCATGTAGAATCATCAACAAAATAACCAGCAATAAACAACTATTTTTGATATAATATGGTACCATTTTTATACTAAAGAGAACTAATAATACAGTAATAATGAAAAATAATTAATAAAATCATGTAAATTGAAACAAACATATTTTAAGAAAATAAAATAGCAAAAAACCGAAATAAGAGACAAAATTTAAATTGAAAATTTAAGAAAATTTATTTTTTATAAAGATAAAATTAAATGGGGGAGCATAGCAATAGAGTATATATTTGGATTATCACTTTCAGCATAACGGTTGGATCCTCTGCTCTCAGTACAAATAAACTGGTGTTAGCTGGTGGGCCACTTCTACTTCCCTTTAAAATTATCTCCATTCACCAACAATCAGTAAAGCCAACCAACCTAGAAATGGTGTTTATTAACTATTAACTTAATAAAGATAAATGATAAAGAAGGAAGATAAGTTCGAATTATTTGATTAATTCAATATCTTCTTTCTTCTACTGTAAAATTCACTTGCATCGCCAAATGGTAGAACTGAGAATATATTCGAGTAAATAATATAAATAATAAATGAAAGAATATACTGTAACTGTTGATTTGTTTTTGCAGTCTTCCATGGATAAAACCTGCTATCTGCTTTTAAACAGATAATAGCCATAATTTAAGGAGGATCTAATATTTAATAACGAAATGATAAACGAAATAATATAATTGACAAAAAAGAAAAATTTATGGGATTTAAAAATTAAGCAAATACGAATGCGAAGAATTCACGAAGAAAAAGTCATCTTATTGAGTGATGGATCTGACAACATTGAGCAGAGTGGGGCATCATTCTATTTTAAATTATCTGATAAATCCACGTTTCCGACTGAGATAACAAAAATATGGTGCAAAAGAATTGTTTTATCTTTATCATAAGAAAACGAAAATTTGACGATTCGATTATCTTGATCCTCGTTTTCTCTAACATATTTGGCAAAGAAAACAAAAAAGGTTTGTAAGATCTGGAAAAATTTTATAATTCGTCAATTAGATCATAAGGAAATCGGCAAACAGCGATTATTTGGTTATGAGATTGTATTTAATGAAATGATAAAGCGTTATAGCCAAGTGCTATTATATACTGATCTAGATTATTGTAAATACATTATCGAAGTCCGATTATACAAGGAATTCATTTGTTCTTTGGAAGTGACTCCTTGACGAAGGGATCTTTGCAGTTAGCCAAACAGAATTAGTGTAAAAAGAAGAAGAATGATTTTATAGCTGAGTTCTTTTTTTTAGAAAGTGATATCGTGCCAAAAATTTGATATAGATCAGTAATTAAATCAGTAATTCAGTAATAGTAATCAGTAATTTTTATTGTTGTTTTATAGGTATCCAAACATTTAAATTATGCATTACATCAAAATTTTGTGGATTATTATCAATCTCTTGCTGCTCTTGATAGAAGACTTTGCCACGCTGATTTCCATAGGCAATAATCCAGTCAAATACTGTCCTCTTGGCCAATAATAGAACTGAATCACATATATGGTCTAATAAGCAAAATGTCTCGAAAGATGGATTCATCAATGGTTTGAAAGTCAAATTGATCTAAATTTTCTTTTAAATTACAGGTTTTTATTGCAAAGAAAGTTTATAGATCAAATATAAAAACTTCATTTGAAGAAAGCCAAGATTGCGAAAATATTGGGAAAAGTTAAGATTTACCTCAGGATGGTCCCATAAATTGCTTCTAATATCATGGATAAGAATTTTGTCAACAAAGACGGTGACTTTAAAATTTGATCGATTGGTCACCTTAAATTATCAAACTTTCGTTTAGAACTGTTTATAATTTTAAAAATTTAGTCTGCATATATCTTTAATGGACACTGGTTCGAGAGCTATTACTCGCGCTTATCATTTTATCTGCTTTTTAACCAAAATGGAATGGAATTTCAATAGCTATTAAGGTATTTACTCTTGATACCATGGAAAATACTATAACTTCTAATATCGTAAAAAGTAAACTTATCTTTTGAAGATATATGATACATAATTTTATATTCTAAAAAAAAATTATTTTTTGAAATAAAATACTTGCGTATCAAGGAAATTTTTCGCTTTTATTATCAGATCAAGTATATTTGGCCATTGTGATGAAATAGCGCTGAATTGTTTGCCATTGATATGAACACATAATGTATGTTCCATCGAATTTCTGAATAAGATATTTATTTAGTATAAAAATGTGCCATAAGTGAACCAATATATTTAGTGGAATAACGCTGATGATAATGGCGATTTTTTAAATAAATATAATGCCACAAATTTAATATGTGAGTGGGGTAAGTTTGGTCGAATGCTGTAATTTATTCAGTCTGCCCAAGCACCAGAGTTTTGATTCCATGATTCCGATCCGGACGCGGTCTTGGAAAAAATTTCTAATCTACTAAACAATAACCAGCGGAGCGAGTTCAACTAGAAATGGTGAGCATTTATTTAGAAATAAAAAACAAAGCATCGTGACCTTATTTCGTAATTTCCATTTTTTCGATCAGTTTTTAATTGCTTTCGACAAGTTAATAATTCTTTGATTTCTTTTTGAAATATTTCCATGATTTCATAGATTCCACGATCGATTTTTTGTGAAACTGAGTACTTTTCCCTTAAAAGTGTGTAAAGATTGGAGCCAATGATATTTAAAAAATTTTTCAAATTCTAATTTTCAAAAACAATTTTGAACTAATGATTTATTAGAATTTTTTCAGCATTTGTTTGATGTGAATAGATAATTCATCGGAAATAAAAATATAAGAAATAATAAAATCGTGAGATAATAAAAATCATGAAAATAGGCAAAACACCCAGGAAACCAGTATTACGGTCTGCAGAATTGTTTTAGAATAGTTTAAAAATTTGTAGAAATTTCTCGAGTAATGAAAAAAACCTCTTAAATGAGATTTTGTCATCCAAATTTGAGTTATCATGAGCAAAGCAAGCAGAAATCTGTAATGATACATAATTTCAATTCTGAGTGTAATTTTGAGTACCCAAATGATTTTCTGATAATCGATACTCTTGATAACCAATAGAGCAATAGTGGCCAGAAATAATGAATGCTGGTCATTCAATTTTTTTTTGCTTACACAATTTCAACGGTTCCAATTATCGATTCAGTTTAAGAACGGAATATCGAAATATCAAAATTAAAAAATTCCAGAATTCAGAAATTTCTTTAGATGAAACCTTCTTCGCATCAATAAAAATTTTAATTTGGATAAGGAACCAGGAGAATCAAATTATATAGAATTGGCTTCAAAAATAAAGCTTTAGGGAACTTGAAAATCGCTTTCGTTTTCGTTTTCTTGTTATTTAACCATATTATTTTTGGTTTCTATCTATTTCCTAATCAACATATCGGCACTATTATTGATAAATTTTTCTTCAGCATTCACCATTTTGGCTTACGCTACTGTCTACCAAGAATCTTTTATCCGAGGAATCAATTGCTGATGAAAATATGAGTCCCTAGCAAAATTCCCATTTCAATTTCAATTGAAGTTCGAATAATTTTTCAATTTCCTTTTATTTCCTCTTATATCAATATATTTTAAAATATAAAAAAACAAATATTGCAATATTGCCGTGTTTTACAAATTTAATTTCATTATCTTAGCTACTAATCGATTTCAGTTGTATGGGAAATCACTGATTTTATCAGTTTTTGTAAATTACTGTAGATTAATCGTTTATCAAACCTTTAAATCGATTTGGTTTACGAGACGAGGAAACGATTTAGCAAACGATATTAGATTATCCTTGCTTGAATCCTCATCATAATTAACACATGGTATACGATGAAATGCCATTCCTACTGCAGTAATGATCAAAAAATCAAGAAGCTGAAAAAGATATTGAAATATCACATATATTACTTAGATAGAATGGGTTATTTATTCTCAGTTCTGAGAAAAACGCTGATGCTGAGGTTCTACACCCGGCAAGAGCAAACTTGCCTTTCAAAAATCCGAGTGGTGCGATTTACCTATATTCCTATCACCGAGTCAATTCCCGAGAAATATGTGGCCTGACAAACATAACGAACCTATTCGAAGATGACAGGTATTCTTAGGAAAAAAATCACACCTATTATTACATATTGTTGCACATATTATGGAAACAAGACAAGATAGCCAAATGGATGGTGATTTAGATTATCGTGTTGCGAGACAAGGGGTTGGATCTTGCACTGCGAAATGAGAGAAGCTATTATCAAAAAATCTGGTAGTGCTGGTAATCCACTTGTACTTCTATTGCCAAGCTACTCCCTGGTTAAAATTCCTTATCATACAAATACCTACTGGACCTAACCTAAAAGAAAGCTAGCTACTTAATTATCGATTGGACTGTGGGGAATTTTATTACTTCTTGTTAAATATTGAATAATACAGGAACCTATAGATTGGAGATGCAGAAACCGATTCGTAAGTGGTGTCATAATTTTTCATTCATAGAACCAGCTAAAGAATAATCTGCATACTAAAACAATGTCATTAATATCCCAGTTTTTAAAAAAATTAAATAGAGTTTTCCAATATGTTGTTTATCCATGATCGTAAAAAATATGTAAATATGCAAATTTTGACTTAATTAATCATAATCATTATGTTTTATTTTATTAATACCATAAATACCTTGTTAATATTTTCTAATATTTTCGTTATTAACATGGCTATTCCACATCTTAATCTAATTCCAAATATATGTTGGGAAAAAATTACATTATTAAGATCTTTCTAGAATCTGCAAGATCGTTGACCACTTATCAAGAAATTGAAGATTACCTGAACTTCTGCAGATCCTGACTTTTTTACAATACTTATGAATCGATCTGCCGTTTCTGAATGGACCTCGAAAGATTCTAAAAGAAAGAAAAAGAAAAGATTCTAAAAAAGAAAAAATATAAGGAATGGAATATCGAAAAACTCAGAAATTAAAAATTCGTTTTGATTACCTTTAGAGAAATAAAATGTAGAACAAGTTATCCGAAATAAAAGAATAGTGAAATATGTGCATAGGATAAGTGGCAAATATCTTGTTATTTTCGAATCATTAACAGCCGAATAATTCACTCGATTTTTTTCCATGGAAGAAATCGGAAGAACTACGGTTTACCTTTAAAAAGATTTGCATCACCCACTGAACTAAAGAAAAAGAATTTTCATCAAATAATTTAGTTTCCTCAAGAAGCTCAGTGGGTTGTGCCCAATTAATTAATTCTATTTCCAGCAATAAACCAGTCCAAAGATGTGGATGATGCTGGCGACTTTCCTGTACTATTGCCAACAGCCTCTTTGGCATGTGTATCTAGTGCGGTAAGCCAGCGGAGCCAGTCTAACCAGTAGCGCGACAAGCCAGCGCAGTTTAACTAGCAATGGTGACCGCTCTTTTAAAAAATCTAAAAACGAAAAATAATGCGCTCCAGAAAATCCTGTCATAAATCGAAATGAATTGAATGAATTAATGTAAATTAAAATAATTAACCTAGTTAGTGGCAATGTGGCCAAATGCGCATTGCATAAAAAAGGACGAGAGGTTTCTAGCGACTCGTCCTTACTATTGTATAAACCCACGTTCAAAGTTCATGCGGTTAGCGGGAAAGCATTACAATGAGTCGGAAATTTAAAATTTCATTTAGAAAACTGATTTCAGAAATTGACTTTATAAAAATTTAAAGAACTATCCTAATCCTAAAATCGAATCCTAAGATTTTAACGACCTTTGGTTCTAGAAATGGTCTTCGCAAGAATATAAATCACTGAAAATCATCTCAAAATTATCCGAAAAATAAAATTATGAAAACGAAAACAATTTCACTCCATTACGAGGAATTAAATAAAAATAAAAACAAAATAGGTCAAAAAAATTTTGCGAAATTATCAAATTGATAAAATCAAAATAAAAGAATAAAAGAAATTCGTATTAAAATTGCTTAGTGTCCATTAAATTAGTTTAGAAAAAAAGTGGATATTTTCAAAAATAAAACCGAGATTTCGATCATTAAAGGTAATATTATAAAATTGATAAATAAATATTTTAAAAGGTGATAAATTTATCACTATATCACTATAATCCAAATTTAAATACAAAATGAGATATAATTCTTACTGGTGTCACAGTAATTCTTCCTTAGATTAAAGCTTTTGAAGGATAATAATTGATAGATAGTAGCACGAATTCATCCATACTTCTATTTCCAGGAGACTTTCTGCGAAAGTATCTAACCTAGCATTTGGTACCACCGACCAAATAAGAAATGGTAATTGTTGAAAAGAGAAAAGCAAAAACTAGAGAACTAATCGTTCTTTATTTCTAAATTTTATATTTTATTTCACAATTTTAATCTGAAGACTGTACCATTTTATAGCCTTTGAATTACACGTATAAAAGTGGTTCGACATTTTTCTTTTGAGCCAATAAATAAGGGCCAAATAAATAAAACCATTGCAATAATTGGTACTTTACTCATAATCTTATCATATTCTATTCCATTCGTATCCACAATATACTTGCCAAGCGACATGCTTGTTCACCGTGAGTGTAATTTAAAACTTTTTTTTTTATATATTTTCGATAGTCTCATTGCAAAAATTACCCATTTTCTTCCAAGGAATATGGTAAGCGAGTGGATAATGGATATTTATGATTATTGCTTTGAGAGGAAAAGGTTCCGGCTCATAACTCTGAAGAAGCAAACGAAAATTGAAAGATTCATATGGTGCTGGCGATCCATTTGTAGTTGTGTGGTCAAGTAATTCGCTATTTACATAAACCATACAGAATAAAAACAAGAGGAACAATGCTAGCCAGAAATGATGACGGCTTTTTTAATTCTTTTATTACCTTTAATATTCGATTCATTATTGTAGTGCTTCATCTGCTGAAACTATAGACACTTTACTAGATATGTTACTGCCTAAATTAAAAAAGTAAAACAAGAAATATAGCTACGAAAATCTCAAATGTTGTGCAAATGAACCGAAGAGAAGGCAAGGCAGCGGATCTCATCAGTTATAGATCATCATAGGCTATGTCTAGCTTGTAGCTCTATTGCATATATAGCTCTCCTGCTTCAGCAATAGGCTATGGTTATTTTAATGTCCGCATAACTGTTCAGTTCATATTTGCTCATATGTGCACTACAATATTTACGTCACTGTATAGATAAAACAGGCAAGGACCACTATAAATGATGCTTAAAATCTTCTCCTCTATTGTGCAACAAGCTATTAGCACGGACAAAATATAATACCGTAGTCCGCCAAGTACCATTTACAAGACTGCATAAATGCTTGTCCGATACCTTAAACTTAATGAGCATTTTTCTTTTACATTCAGCTGTGGTCCATCAACCCAGCATCGCTCCGATTTTATGAATAATAGGTTACCCTTGTCGAGGGAGGGCAGTCGAACTTGTGATAGCTTTGCATAAACTGAAAAACGCTACAATTCTGGTTTTCATCATTTATTATGATTATTTTAATAATTTCTAAAATTTCACTGTTTCACTGTTACCATTTATTATATTAACTATTATAATTATATTAATATTATATTTCACTGTTTTCATTGCTATTATTTGAAATTCTGACTCTTGAAAAGAATGTTTCTCTTCAGTACAATATGCTCTGCAATTTTCCATTGTTCATTTAACATTAAATTTTTTTCGGCGGTTTGCATTTCGTTATGGTTTTTTGTGTTATACAATGTTAAATACTTTGAAATTACTGCAACGACCATCTCAAAACCCGTATGTTTGCTCGCCGAGCCTATTAAATTCAATTCGAAAAATTTCCCTTCGTCAGCGAAATCAGCGTGACTCAACATATTATGCAATAAGCGTTGCTGTGCTAGCTGTGGGTGCAACTTTTGCTGCAATTCCACTTTATCGGATATTTTGTGAAAAAACGTCATATGGCGGTCTAACTCAGGTGAATTTTTTGTCTTACACTTCTATGCATTCACTCATAATTATTACTGGCACTTATTTAATATGATTGGCTTTAATGGCGCCACAGTTAAGTTAATAGGCAATAAAAAACGTGAAGAAAATACGGTTGGTTTTATAACTGACAAAAGTCAAATAAGTTTCGTTTGAAAACTTAAAAAATTTCGGAATAATGGAATGAAAAATGGTTTTAAAGTTAAATTGGAATCATTTTATTTCTCCCATACACATCTCTCTTCCATTTTTTTTTATTTGCATTAGTGATATACAATTAAAATTAAAATATATAATTAAACATATATAATTAAAATAATAGGTGGCAAAAGATTTGGAAAGAATTGCAAAGATGGAAAAGGTGAAGGATCGTTTAATTCAAGTGCAGTTTAGCGCACAAGTTCCTTCATCAATGCAGTGGAAATTCAGGCCTCTTCAACAGGAACTTTATGTTCATCCAGGCGAAACAGCATTGGCTTTTTATTCTGCATATAATCCAACAGATAGACCAATTGTTGGTATCAGCAGTTACAATATTACACCATTTGACGTAAGTTTCTATTGTACCATTCTAATTTTTATGAAAGGGGATTATTGACTGGATAATCTCTATTATAGTTTCTGTTGCTAAATGCAAAGGTTATTGAGAAAACCAAATAAAAAGAGATTAATAATGGATTCTACCACTAAATTCAACAGTTCCAATAAGGAAAGTTGATAAACAAATCAAACAACAGGTCAATGAGACCAGCAACAAGCAATCGACACTTGGATAAGAATTGTCAAAGTACCAGTGGAATTAGTTACAGGGCTTTCGACCACCCAAGAAATGGATAAAGCTCCATTTGCATAAAACAAAAAAAAATAAAGGGAACGAAAAAAAGACCAACTTCTTAAGAAGCTTTTGTATTCGACATTCAGTGGCAGCATCTATTTGTCATTTTTGGGTGAAAGATTTTAAGTCTCGTGGAAGAATCTTTCTTCAGAGTAAGAATCTAATCTAACTCAAAATGAATCATCTTTACGAATTAATCTTATTTATTCTTCATTTTTTTTTTTAGATTTGTTTTACTACAAAAATGAATGCAAAAATTTCCTTTTAAAATACTGTGAATTCATAGAATCCGATTTAAAAATTTCCTTATTTCGAAATTATTTTAAAATAATAGTGAATTCTCATTAGAAACCGTGAATTTCAGGCAGCTTTTTATTTCAATAAAATTCAGTGCTTTTGTTTTGAAGAACAAATATTGAACCCAGGAGAACAAGTCGATCTCCCTGTATTATTTTATATAGATCCCGATTATGTAAATGATCCGAATTTGGAAAATTTAAACCAAGTTTTGCTCAATTATACGTTTTTCGAATCAAAAGCAGGTATCCATTTATCATTTTTTTTATTTCTTTTTTCGTTTTAATGCTATTCTTAGTGAATCAAGTTTTTGAATAAAAGCATTGCTTCTCTATTTTTTTTTCAGGTCTTGAATTACCAAACCCATTTGACCGGAATTTTCAGCAGAAGATGAACCAGTAGAAAACAAGCAAATTAATTTTGGCTTTTATTACCCTTTTATATTATTATAAATTGACTTTTTGATTTGCCAACCATTTCCCTCTTCTATCTAATTATCGTGAAATTTCTAAATGTTTCTTCTGATAACGAAATAGAATTAATTTCATAAATATTTGTTTATTTATTTATTTCACGAATTGATTGATTTTAAGTTCGACACTTTTGTGGCCCATTTATTTTTGTAGTTTGTGTGGTTTTTTCTAATTTTTATTTGTACAAGTCAGACCTAACACCATGTACCGAGAATCAAGTTTGGATTCGAATCCGAACTTCGTCGACGTCCCACACTTCGTCAGGATATGTGTCAGAGCAAGAAAAGGGAAAAGACTGAGTTTTTACTCAACTTGAAGTGTCAATGCTAGGATTCTATTGCCGGCAGGAATAAATCTATCCAAAAAAATCAGGTGATGCTGGCGACCCAGTACTGCAAAGTATTTCCTGGTACACTTGTCTAGTATGATAAGCCAGCAGACAAAGTCTAACCCACGACAATGCTCTTTAAAAAAAAATTACTGGTATCAGAACAATAAATATAAAAAAGCAATGTTTAGAAATAAAAAATCTGTACGAAATAAATTAAAAATAAATTAAAAAGTAATAACTAGAAATAATTTATTAAATAGTTCTAAAAATATCTGTACAGATTCATTAGAAAAAATAAAGCACCAATACGACTCAACGTTAATAAAAAGATGAAAACAGAAAAAGAGAGTGGTAAAGTGGATCGCTATCGCTAAATTTCATATGACACTGAGGAAAGACGTAAAAATCATGAAATTCTCCGTAGAACGAATAATTTTTAAGAGTAAATCAATAATTCAGTGAGGATTTTTCGCCAATTTAGACAAATTTTTATGGCTGAAAAATGGTGACAAATGGCTGAAATTAAAAGACGCTCATTTTTCATTAAAACTGGTAACATTTTCGCCGCATCAATTTTACATAAATAGCACAACCTTTGCACATCCACAGATATTTTCTGGCATTTGCTCACTGGCTTGATGGATGGATTTTCATCGGAAGCGCTAAGGAAACTGTCGTTTATTTAAATAAATTTTATGAACCAAATTCGAAGAACTCTTCCAAAGGACATCGTGCCAATTCCTCACGTAGCAGTTGTTCAATAATTCCCTAGTCGTGTGTCCGAACATTAGTAATTTCGGCAGCCGAACTGCGGGGAATTATTGACTTTCCCTGATTATCTTTTCCTTTTCTACTTTATACGTTTTTGTACCTGTTCTTTTTTCTCTTTTTCGCATTTTCTCTCGCAGTGGTTTCATACATCATTGTTCCATCATGTTTTCTCTCGGTCTTTTTCTCCGTCTCACCCTCAAAGTCCACCTTATTTTTTAACTGTCGCTTTCTCTTTCCTTCCTCGTTCGAAACCGTGTCTCAACACATATGCGCTTCGCTCGCGAGCGTATCGGTTGTTTAAGCTGTATTTTTCTTCAACTGTTTGGTGATTTTTGTGGTCTCACGTGACTCAATGTAAACATTGTGAATAGCCCTGCGGTGACCTTGGTGATTTCTATTTATCAAAATCTCTTAAGGCTGCTGTTATTTAAGTGGAACTTACATGGATTGCTAACTTATTATTATTACCATATTTGTTTGTTGAGTAAATTATATTTATGATGAAACGGAAGAAAAAACTGGACGAGTTGACCCCGAGTTGACCCTTGAACGTAGCGTTATATTTTAAAGACTAATGATACAATGTAAACGAGTTCTAAAGTACGAATTAACTTCATTTCAAGATTGCTTTTATTTATTTTTCTTCGTCTTCTTCATTATGCGTCAACACAAATGATGAAAAATTCTTATTCGTCGACCATAATGGTAATGAAAAAATATGAAAAAAGTAAACTGAGAAATACGGATGATTGGAGGTATCGAACCTTAAAAAATCGGGAATTTGTCCGAAAGGGGACGAAGTTTCGCAAAAGGTTCGATAATAACTACGAACTGCTTCATTTGCAGTAGACGTATAAAATTTTCATTTTATTCATCACATTTTTGAGCGGTTATTTTTTTTCTTTATGTAGTTTTTTTCTCAGATTGATCTCTGAACTTCTTTGAACCTCTGAATCTTTTAGCGAGTTAGCTGAATCTCAAGTCCTTTTTCCTTGCATGAATAGATTAGTAGTATTTTTAGAGATGAAATCAGTCAGTTTCGTTGATGGATTGATAAACAAAAGCATATCGCTCAGTAAATTTATCGGTCAGATATCTTTGTCATCAGTTCGAACCAAATATTCGATTTCATGCAAATGCAAATTTTATGATATGCGCATGAAGAGTGGCACTATCATTGCAAATTTTCTTTAGTGCTTCTCTTCAAAAATGACTTGATTTTTAATAATAGCTTTCCGAAGAATTCCGAGTTTCAGTGAGCTTTAAGGAGCTTCAGTGAGCTTTTTTGTGGGTTGTGGATTACATTTTGCGCATTTTTCAGTTGCTTTCTGTTGCCACATTTTTACGTTACTATTTTTATTTTTCTCGCCCTCCCTCCACTTCACCTTTATTTGATGCGTTTTATCATAAATAGAATTCGTCAGATTATAATCATAGGTATAAGTAATGGTTAAATATTGGAAAAATCCAATAATTTTATTGCCTTTTGCTGAGGAGGATTTTTTCGTCTTGGCTTAATGGTATATTTATTAATATACTTTTAATGGTATATTTTTTTATTAATTAGATTATCCTTCACAAATATTTGTAAGGTATCGATTCTTGCGAGTGTGAACTAGGATTTCTTTTTCCAGGTTTAGATCTGAATTTTTGAAGAAAATTTATTTTCGTTTATTTATAATCGTTTTATCGGAATTATTTCTAGACCTACGCTGGATTCACTGGATTCATGGAAGGTTGTAATATTTCGAGTGGGTCAGAGGCCGATGATAGTAATCAAGATGGGCGAGGTGTTCAGTTTGGTCTGTAAAAATTATTTTAAAACTAATTTGGATTGAATGTTTTAATGATGAATTGAAATTGAATTTTCTCTTTTCCCTTTCCGTTTTTCATGATTTTATGTTTTTATTTTAGCACTAAAGGTTTGCAATTATATTTTTAGAACAAATATCAAACAACGAACCAGACGTAGATGCTGAATTGGATTATGATGAGGATAACGAAATATATGATGAAATGGATGGTATTGTTGAAAATTATGAGGGTTTAAATAACATGGGTGAGCAAGAGGTATGCTCTCTTTTTATAGGACCCCTCGTGGCTTTTTTTATTTCAATTCTTCTTTATTGTGTTTATGTTTCCTGTCTCAGGAAAAGATCACTACTGGCTTAAATACTGACGATCTGGATGTTGTGGAAACGAAACAGTCAAATATGCCTAAAAATGAATTCAAATGGTGTGCAGAAGGTGATGCACATATGAAAAAATGCAGTGGTGATGAACGAGAAGCGATAGAAGATGGAGAGATTATAGACTTAGAAGATGGTGAACTTAGATCAGGTGGTGAAAGCGATTTAGATTCTTTGTCTGGGCGACGAGTGATTCAATCTACCTTTTCTGAGGTAACAGAACTTATTTTTATTTAGGGTAATTTGAGATTTTTCGTGAAAGATGATGAACATGTTTATAAAAATTGATTTAAAATGATTATAGAATCATCTGAAAGGAAGAAGTCGTGAGCGAACACCTATGCGAAGTCGTCGCATTGATGAACCTTGCAACCTTGGTGTATGCAAATTCTATCTTCGTGGAACTTGCACTTGGGGTCCTGATTGTAAATATTCGCATTCAGATGAGGTGAATAATAAATTGTTTTATACTGTTTCGCCGAACTGAATGGATCATGTCTGATATATTTTTATTCACAAGGATCATAAAGTCATACTGATACTCAAGTAAACAAAGAGAACATAAGGCTGAGCTGAAAATGTGAGGACAAAACAGTGAAAACAGACCATATTTTAAAAAAAAAAAAAAAAAAAGCAAATGCATGTGTTGACAATATAAAGAATCTTACCAATATTAATATTTCTTGGGTACGATTTTACTTTTAAATTTTATGCAGTTTTTTTTTGAAATTAGGGATAGGTGCCTAAATTCTTTTTTATATAGTTGGAATTTTGAAATATAATTTCTCTAAGTATCATAAGAGATTTCATCCATAAACTCTTCTCTTGGCTTTTAGGGCTTATTCTATAATACTAGAGGGCTTAATAAGCAAAAGTAACAGCGCTAGATAATTACTCCAGTAATTAATACTTCTGATGAAGTTGTGGGACAATACGCAGCTTCTGTAAATTTTGAAAACCTTCAACTTCTAGTAACATTTTAGTGGCAGTAATGAACAAGTAGAAGTCAGAATAAAGACGGTTTAAATTGTAATGGTCGAAAAAAATTTTTAGGATCATATTCTTTTATTCTCTTTTCTCTAAGCCAATCAAGCCTAAACAATTTTAGCTTTGATTTGTGATTAATTGGCTATGATTAGTTTAATCCTATTTATCATTTCATTTTTTCTTCTTCTTTAAAAAAATTATGTAGAACCACGGCATTGGCTTACACGTCAGTAATTTTTCAAGTGATTCTAATTGGCGATGTGAACGTAAGAACATGCCTAGAAATGATCGCGAAAGAAGTATGTTTCTTTTCTTTAATGGTTTTGATTTCTAGGATTCTGAAGTTTATATTCATTTTTGAAATAGTTTCTTGTCAATTGTCTTTGAAATTTGGCATAAAGCCTAAATTCTTTTTTTATATAGTTGGAATTTTGAAATATAGTTTCTCTAAGTATCATAAGAGATTTCATCCATAAACTCTTCTCTTGGCTTTTAGGGCTTATTCTATAATACTAGAGGGCTTAATAATATCGCTATCTTTTAGTAAAACGTGAAAGTATTCATTCAAGAATTATCTATCCATATGAAACAAATTATGGATCGGTTGGTAATATTGACAGCAGTGGAAAGGACTTATCATCAAAGGAAAGCGCTTGGGAAAAAGGACTGCGTCAAGCGAGAGAAGTATTTTCTTATTTTATTTTAAATTTTTCAACAACAAGAACAAGAAATATATAGGAAATTATTTTTTTCCGAGTAACATTGTTATTTTATTTTTTTTACTTCACTGCAGCTGATGATAAAAGCTTCAAAGAAGCGTGAGGAAGAACCTGATTTTGATAGAAAACGGCTTATCCTCACGCCGAGTGATGAAATTGATCGCCATTCTCATCATACTGATGACGACTCTGATGATTCACGATACATTGGAAGAACGTTTGTTTTTTCATCTTCGAGATTTAGAAATATTACTGTTGTTTTATTTTAACTTGTTTCTCTCTTTTTTATTCTTGAAATGTTTTAGACGCATCCGATCACCTCGTTCACCATCGCAGCGAAATTTTACAAACAGAAGTATTGGAGGGAGTGTCGGACGTGCTTTAGCGGAAGAGCGAAGGGCTCTTCGCTATCTATCTGATTCGCGTAACTCGGGTTTGTTTCAATTTGATAGTGATATGAAAATATTATTACAATGATTTATCCGATAAAAGTATAAGTCTCTTGATATTAGACTCAGATATTTCAATACTCGCTTATTTTAATCCAAATTTTTAAATTCATAAATTTTTAAAATTTTTAAAAACTCAAATTTATTTTTCCCATAAATGGAGGGGAAATTTTGTGAAAACATTGATGGAACGATTGGATATTGTTATAACCAATATCAACTTTGTAGAAGGAAACACACGAATTCGCGAAAGGGATTCGGATAGAAATTCAACTATATATTCACAAATATCTCATCACCGTAAGATTCCATCGTTGATTGATACTTTAAGGGAAGGTCGGATATTCGAACCACCTAAAAGTGAGATATTTTCTTTGTTTCGAATATATTAACATTTTTAATTAACATTTTGTTTTTCCTTTATTTTTTTCTTATTTCATTTCAGATATTGATTTGGGACCACAAGTACTTTATCCCAGTGGTCGACCAATCCGACGACGTGAACGGATCTTTAGGCGAGATAGGGACTGGTACGTTTCATAATTTTAAGATTTTCTGTTGTTCATCATGATTTATGCATTATCAGGGAAGAAATAGATTTTTTCGCATCTATAATCATTTAGAGAAAATAGCCTATATTTTATTTATTTTTTCGTTCAGTTTCTATTTTTAATGTGTTTCAGCTTCCTCTTTTCAGCCATGAAGAAAATTATATATTGCGCGAAGAATCACGTTCACCAAGATCCGTTTCATCTTCTCGCTCGCATTCACCAATTCGGCCAAGGCGTGATCTGGATTTTAAGGACAGAATGGATCGAGATGTTTCACCTAGTAAGAGACGTACAGCTTTAGGTGACAACACCGGAACGCTGGGTTTGGGTTTCTGTTTGTTAATACTATGGCGAAATAGGATTGAAACTTCTTCGTTGTCCTTTTATTCATTTTTTATACTGCTTATCTTTTAATACTGCTTATTTTTTTTTGCATACTGTTATATATTACTATAATATATATATTTCATTTTAAATGACTATTCTATTTTAGGTAGTGCTGAAATACGAGACCCATGGGAAAGAAATTGTGTTAAAAGGGGTCATAGCAGGGAATTCATTACAGCAACACTTGATCCAGTTCAAAAAGGTGGTCGGAAAATTAGTCGATGCAACCGGCGTTTGAGTGACCGAAGTGCGTCAAGTAGCGTTTCTCAAAAGTAATATGTTTTTGGGTTCTTTCGAAATCTTACTCTCATCTTGCCTTTTTCTTGTTTGATTTCCTTTTTACATTTTAAAATGGTTTGCATCAATTTTGGCGAAATATTTTTTGCGTGAGATTTGCATTCGGATTGCATATGTTTGATCTGAGGTCGTAATTTTATTGAATTTGAATTCATTAGATAACATTTGACAACTTAAGGATAGAATAGTGCTATGAGATTTTGCTCATTTTGGTATGCTGGTGGGTGGGTTTTTTTTCGTGGCAGGAGTAAAGAAAAATGATGCTGGGGAATCTTGTATTCCTGCCAAGTGACAAAATTTGTCTGGTTCGATAAGAACCTGACTAGAAATAATGAGCGATTTTAAAGAAAATGAATAAAAATTTACGGTGCAAAATTTGTGAAATTTGTATGGATTTCGATTAAATTACAATAGGATTTTTTTGGCTTATATGTTTCAATTATTTTACTAATTTTTTATTCAGAGCGTCGAGTGAATCTTCTTTCTCAGCATCGTCGCGATCTTCTTCCCATGAGAAATGTCACACATCTTCACGACCTTCTTATATGTCAGCGGTCCCATTGAAGAATGTTTTTGATGATGATGGCTCAGTGCGACCGACAGATTTATCATCGTTTCGAATACCGAAACGGAAGATGTAAGTATTGTTGATTATTATTCATTATTTCATGACTATGCAAGGTTCTTCAAGTTCTTAACTCGAATGATTTAGGCCAGTCTCATCTAAACATCGGGATTCGTCAAAAAGAAATTTGAAACGAAAGGTCGGCAAAGAACTTGTTCAAAAGCGAGCTACATCACCTATTTTACCTAAGCGGTGAAATTTTTTGCTTCCTAGTTTTTGCCAGTAGAATAGAGGTATTTTTTTATTTATCACTCATTACTTGCAATTATGCAATTACTTATAGGAAACGTTCAATCTCTCGAACACTAAAACAGAATACATTAAAAAATGCTAGACAGTCTGAAAACGATCTTTACGGTTGTGGAAGTCGAAACCGTTCTTCATTTGTCGATAATAGAGAGGATGTATCGGATGACTCGTCATTTAGCAGGTTTTTTTGTACTTAAAAAATTTAAACTAAAATTCAAACAGAATTTGAACTTGCTTCTTTTTTTGTTTATTTGGTTACATTCTAGCTCAAGTAGTTCGAGTGATGATACTGAACCAGCAGCTTATCGTCGCAAAAGATATACAGCAATTGACGATGGTCTTCCCACGGAAGGTATACCACTATCACCTGAAGCTGCCGTGGAAGATGTTTCTAGTGATGAACAAGATGATCCTGCAGTTGGGAACGTGAGTGTTCGCATTTTGGAGACCATTATAATTCAATTTACAATTTTTACAATTTACAATTTTTGAAAAAAAAATGATTCAACTTCTCATGGATTTTAGAGCCCAAATTGTTCATCAAGGCAATTGATAACTCCTTCTAATGAATCTGCTGAATATTTTCCTGAAAAAAATTCTAAAGAAGAAAAAGATTCTATTATGGAAGAAAATATTTTGAATCGTGGGCAGAGCATAGAAATTGACGGTAATTCTTTTCACTTATGAAATTTTAAAGAATTTACCTTCTGGCTAGTTATATGTTTATGTTTATAATTTAATTGCTATTGTTCAGTTCTAGAAAACCTTTTTATTATCTATAATTTCTGTGTTTTAGATTTATTATTTTAATAAATAAATTTTCAATTCATAGGCGAGGAATATATTGACAACGAAGTGGAAAGTGAACGTCGTGCAGAACTTCTGAGGCAGTTAAAATGTGTAGAAGAAGCCATTGCCCGTAAACGAAGTCGCCCACTTGCTTTATAGCCTATATTTAACTTGAATTCTTTCTTTTTGGACATATTTTTTCATTTGATGTCATCCGTACCACATTTATATTCTACTTTATTTATGAATTTGTTTTAGAGATTGTGAATATAAACTATATTTTGAATAATATAGTTCGAAGTGAATTTGGGCAGATTTTTTATTTTTCGGACAGTTAGGAATGATTTCGCTTACGTTATTCTAGATTGGATTTTTTTAAGGATTTATTGTATGGATTAGAATTATCATTGATTCTTATTTTCTTTCTAAGTTACTTATTGTTCCCTAATATCTTGTGATCAATACAGTTTTCTCTTGTATGAATGCACCTAATGCACATTTCAACATCAAATTTTGATCGCCAAATTTAAATAAATTTTTCATTTTGATTAAATAATTAATTCATGAAAATCCTCCAGTTCCCTTTATGTTCCACTGTGGCTCATTGTATGATACTTTTTGTAATTTGTTTTAGAGATTGTGAATATAAACCATATTTTGAGTAAATCAAGGTTTGACGATTCGTTAAGGTACATGGTAAAGAGGCTTCATTTAAGTCTCAGAGGACTGATACGGTAAAAAAAAGTTTAAGATTTTCAAGGGAACATTTGGCGATTTTTCGAAAACAAGTTTTCGAGATGTCAAGATGAATGATTCAAGACTTGGTTTTTTTATTTATTTGGCCAGTTTTTAGGTTTGGAGTTATTTGATGCACCAGCTTAAAACAAAGGGATTTGTCAGTTTGAAAGGCTGAAACTGGTTCCAGTGGTATAGTTAGTATAGTGTAGAGAAATTTTAGTTGGTTTTACTAGGCTTTAAGTATTAAAGACGGTTGAGGAATTTAGAATAGGTAAGAAGTAATAAAGAGTTGTGAGGAATTGGTGAATGGTGATAATGGTGTTTTAGAAAAATGTTGAGGAAGTGTATGATAAATGACTGCTGATTAACCAAGAAAAAAGGGATGAGATTCAATGGAGCATTAAAGAAAGTTAGGATAATGTATCTAGAGGAGGACTTCATTGAGTTTTATAGAGATAGAAGTTCAGAAATAGTTATGAACATAAGAAAATGAGATTCGAGAAGGGAATAAAGGGAATATTTCTTTAGTGGGTGGGAAAATATTGAGCGCACAAATTAATCTATGTTAACACAGTAAGTTGTAGGTATCTTCAAGTAGGATTGAGTTATATGAAATGAATTTTAATTAAAAACAAATTTTTTAATGTTGAATGAAGTGGTTGAAGTATTTCTGAAATTATGCACAAGAGTTCATACGATGATGACGATTTTGAAAACAGAAGTTTTGGTTTAAATTAATAAACTTGAAAATTAAAAAAAAGATGTACAGAATTGAAGCTTAGAATCTCGAGAAAGGTTGGTGTTGATGTATTTGTCAAAAAAATGGATATATTTGTATGCTTTAAGATGACAATGCAAAATCAGCCATTACATCCACAAAAAGGCTTCGTATTTGAACGAACATTGCGAAAAAGACGTGTGATTAAACGGCAATCAATTGAAAATTATGTGAGGAGGAGAGTGAGGAAAGCTGATTTGATGAACCTCAGGTTGGTATTCTGTTTTAACTTGAAGGAACCAGAGTTATTACGGGTTTATTCACGATTTAAGTATTTCGCTTTATTTAAGTATTTCAGATATTTAGATTTTTTTCCTTTATATGAACTATGGTGCCAGTACTACTCTAATTTGCTCGGAATTTCTTTAAATCATCCTGATGAAAGGATTTTAAAAGCCGACTACCATGGTTGTATTTTTATAATCGCTGATGCTGCTGCTTCTAGCCAAGTATGATTCTGTTTTCTGCTGTCGAATTCATTTTTCGCCTTATTAATCCGCATTATCTTGTTTTACTTGCTTTATGTGTTAAAACTCTGGAAGATTACATTGTAATTAATCCGCATTATCTTGCTTTACTTGCTTTATATGAAGAAAGAAGAAAGTTCTTCGAGACTAAACCACGATATATCGTCTTTCAGCGCAAGCATATCTAAAAATAGACTTATCGTAATACGAGATATCAGAATGCTTCCTTACTGAGCTGTACGATGATCTAAGAACGATCAACTGATAAAGGCATTTTGTCAACGCAAATTGGCAGTATTAATTTATTTATGGAAAACTGACATATCCTTTCGTAATATATTATCGTCCGCTAGGGCGTCTACATTATGAATAATTAGATTATGGATAATGCTTGTAGAGATATGCCAATCCAGAACATAATCAAGAGATCTAGATTAGGCTGGTGACTACAGTCCTTTTTGTTGATAGCCACCAAGAACTATAACAAATGCTAGTTTCGACTGTATCACCTACAGGTGTAAATCGGACTCCCTATTACTATAAATATAACAAAAAGTAAAACTTGTAAAAAAAATTTTCGTCTCGCATACGATAGTTAAATAATTTTTTATCATTATTTTATGAAATGCTAGGCCTTAAATTTTTTGCTCTTAATGATCAAGCGAAAGGTGAAATTCTAATCCGGATAGCAGTAGTAGCATTTTCTTCCAATTTTTATGCAATCACTATCAAAATGAAGGCGCGTAACCTATACGACTGCAAGCCATTGAAACTGGAAAATATCAGGAAACTCGCTCATGCTTAAGATATATTTCACTTGTCTGCCGGGAGTACAGCAGAATCTCATATTATTGCATCCACCTTCGCTCAAATACCATCTACAAGATAATAATATACCGGTTAGATCATGAAGGAATTGATTTGCCACTTGCTACTCTGTGATGGATGAGAGGAGGACCATTCAACACTGGAATTGATACATTCAGAAGGAAATTTTAACATTTAGTTGGCCTAGCGAAATATGAACCTAGACAAAAAAGGATGGTTTATCTTACTGTAAGATATCTATAAGATATGGTATCGGATCGAATACCGTACGTGTCAGCATTATTGCTAAGTTTAGTCAGTAATATTGCGAACTATTAAAAGAGGAATATTCAGCTGGAAATACTTTGATTAATACCAATAATAAAGTTGACAGATATTAGGTAGTTAATAGAAATTTCGTTTTTACCAATTTATCGATAATGAAATTTTTCAATTATCTGTAATTAAAGCGAGAACAAGTGGTGGATTATTTTCTTACTTACTTTCCATGGCTTTTACTTACTTTCCATGTCTTTTCTCGCCTTTTAACCGTCTTTCTCTCACTATACTCTTCTTTATCCATTTCATCACCAGTATTCGAAAGTCGTTTTGGACCACGTAAAGTATCGTTTTTTTAGGTCTTTTAGAAATTCATTTAAATTGACTGCTGGATTCACTATAGCCGAATTTGTAAATTATATTTGTTTTCTTTTCATTTATCATTGATTAGGTTTGAAGGTATCATTGAAGTTAGGAAATTATTTCGTTTTCTTTTAGATTGGTTTAACAGGGATTGTAATACAAGAAACGAAACAAACTTTTCGAATATTAACAAAGGAAGACAAACTTTTAAGTCAGTTTTTTTTAAATTTTTTGAGAATAAGAATCAGTTATTTTCTTATTGACCATTTACTTTTCACACATTGCATATTGCACATTAGTTGTGGAAATTATTATTTATTCGATTTCTCGCTCTAGATTTTCTAATCATTCTTTCAGCTATACCTAAGCATGGAACGATATTTCAGTTTGCTTTCAGAGGAAAGATATTTACTTTATTCGGTGATGGTTTCAGGTATTTTTTCTCTCTTTAAATTTTTTTCTTCCCTTTAATTTGTACAAAAAAAACCGAAAATGTAATTTCTCGTAAGAATTCAAAGTGTTTCAGGTATCAAGCTGCACAAAGAGTGAAAAAAATGAAATCTCGCTTGACTTTACCGTTTTTTTTAAGGTGAAAAAATTTGATTGTCCATTTTATTATTTTTATTTGTATTTGTTTATTTGAATTTTTTTAATCGGTTTTTATTCAGTTTTTAACGAATGTTTACATGTTTTTTTGGCGAAAATAGAAAAAAATTACAAATGTGTTTAGCTGTTTGAATTATTATATCATAAACTTATGGAATTTTAAATATTAAATATATCATTTATTGCTAGTGAGGTTGTTTTTTTGATATTTTCAGTAACATAATTTTTCTCATTAGCGGTTCATGAATAAGTCGTTATTCTCAAAGACTTGATTTATCAAACCGTTAAATTTTATTACTTAGCTATTTTCTAAAAAACTTTTCAAATTTCTTGTTTAAAAAAATCTCCATCAAAATCTATTTCAGTTCGATTAATTGAGCGATTTTTTTCGATTAAATTATTAAGCACGGTGGGAATATTGTTTATGATAAAAATTGTAAATACGATAATTTTTGTGTCGTTTTTTGCTTCGAAGTTGGTAACTTTAGACCAGTTTTTTGGCTGGAAACGGTATATGCGATATATTGCTGCCTAATATAAATACATAAACTAAAGTGATTAAATAGTATTTTTACACGAATATAGCCATTAAAAAAAATTGAATATTGAAATTTCCCTAATTCAATTATCCCTTGGTAAAACTGTGGTTCATACATCTGAAATTTTAGGAAAATATTTTAGAAGATTAAATAAGCATTGACTATTTTTCATTTTCGATGATCGCTCTAATGCCAACAAAATCTATCTTTCAGTATATATGAATACCATGGAGATACTCCAAATGCGAGTAGATAATTTAAGGTTTTGATCAATATTTTACCATTTTGTTGGCATTCGGATAAAAGCATATTTTAGAAGCCATGGAAACTTAAAGCTTTCTTTCTAAAATAATTAGTTCTCTTGTTTGGAATAAACATCAAAGCGTCATTTTCTTCATCCTTAAGAGGTTTCAAGTTTTATAAGTTTTGAAATTGAAAAATTAAGATAGCAAAGGGCTAGTGGTAGTTTGTTGTTGTTTCTTCAGTAAGCAAGAAAATCTACGAAGCTCTAGAGACCGAGTACTATTGTTTGCAAATGATTATGTGAGTAAGAGATAGCCTGTGGAGCTAGCGAGATCGGGGATGAGCACTGTTTGAAAAGGAAAAGGAATATTAATGTTAGATTGTTGCTCAATTCGGGGCGCCGATACTAAAGTTCTATTCCCCGCAGAAATAAACCAATACAAAATAAATTCGGGGTGATGATGGCGACCCACTTGTACTTCTATCGCCAATGGATTCCCTGGCATATTTGTCCAGTGCGACAAGTCACGAGTCTAACCAACAAAGGTGAAAACTCTTTGAAAAAAAACAACAGATCGGTCATCTTTTTAAAATTATTTGTCAAAATGACCTCTTATCGAGGTAAAAATTGAAGGTGATGAAAGCCACGGTCATCGAGGTTGAAGCAGCAAATAGGACTCATCCAAATCAGGTTATAATCTCATTTGTTTTCACGGATGCAATTATTTCAATCTTTGTTTTCACCTTAGCTGGGCTTTCACCTAATTCAACTTTCATCTAAGTAAAATACAATCATACAGTTTTAATTTTTAGACTTATGATTTACGAAAATCTCTTATTTTAAGTTACATAGAAAAGAAAGGGATCATTCGCTGACGCCAGTTGGTAGTCCGACTAGGAGAGAAAAGATCTATGTTTACATCAAAAACGAAGACTTATCAAATTCAAAAACAAGAATTCCATGCGAAACTGAAAAACGATTCATTGAAACTAATTATACTCAACAGAATAATACGGAAGAAAATCGTCAAATTACACGCCACCAGTTAAACTCAGAAATATACTCAAAAAATGGCGTGGAAATGCGCGATAAGAAAGGTTTGAAAATCCTCTTGCCAGTATCGCTAGCTTGTATTAAAAATAGCATATATTCATGGCATCCTTGGCATGTCTTCCGGTTGGGGGTGATGATTATAAAACTAAGCCATTAGCATCACCATTTCTTATTAGATTTGCTTCAGTGGTTATTAAGAGATTTTTGGGGTATTGAAATGCAATTGGATTCCTAGTATAACTTGCATTTTTAATGACAAGTTTATTTTTGGCCGAAGTGGAGTCCTAGCCTTGATGTCGAGCTAATCTGAGCAACAATCACTCAACTATCACTCTCCTTAAATTGCAGATTATGAATAGAACTCTCATATAATAAATAGAAGAGATCCAGTTTTAAAGACAAAGGTGGAAGGTAAAATGAAACTAAAATATAACTAAAATATCATTTGAAAAATATTTACGAGTTTGAGATGATAACGACAGCGCAATAATTGATTGTCCGTTCAGCGAGTTTGGATGTGAAGACAGAGGGAACACCATGAATATACGAAAACATATTAGAGACGCGAAGTTAGTTTTGATTCCATTAATGATATTTAAAATTGAACGTATCAATAAAAAGCCAGGCTTGAGAAAAATAAGTCTGAGCTACTGCTTTTTGTTTATAGTGGAAGGAATCGCCAGTTCAAACCATTGAACCGATAACATCGAAATTCAATACTTTTTAGAGAATATCGACATTTTCTTGGGTTTCTTCGTGAAAAATCCGATGAGTTGACCAAAGACTTAGTTGGTTTACTCGTTTACTCGACACTTCCTTCCATTAAAGTCGCCACTTCTCGATATTCGCAAATTTTAAATAAATAAGAATCATCATTCGATCAGCTTAGGAAAATTGCTTTATAAATTGCTTTAAACAATTCAATCCAGCAAATTTTAGTTTTTAGAAGTATGATGAAATGGAATTTGCCAAAATCCATGATTCTGTTGAAGGTCACTTCATTTGCTGCAAATCTGTGATGCTGTAACGAATTTATATGCAACGAGCAAAGGCTTTATCGCACAAAGCACGGAAAACGTTCGGAAAGCCAACGATGTCGTTCATTGGGCACGCGTATGCGACACACTTTTCAGGTAGCAGCATTTATCTTATCATTTCTAGTTTGGCTCATTTCTGATTTGAAAATTAAATGTTTCTGCCGTGGAGTCAATGTAGAGTTGAATGGATTTCCATAGTTATCTCTGAATTTCACCATAAATGGTTTACTTCTGTCATTTTTAGTAAATTGCTATAAACAACTGTTATAAATCCACTAAATAAATCAAAAAATAATTTTATATTGTTCTGAGGAAATTATGAATTATTGTTAAATTATGTTTTTTGTTTCATCTTTATTTCTAATAACATTTACTTTAGCAGCCAATATATTTGGCATATTTTCGGTTATTCGAAAGCTTACATGAATGCACGCGTGGGTAAACCGGCAATAATTTATAGTCCCACATTTTTCTCTCATCGGCATGGATATAAAATGGCATTGGTTTTCGCACCGTATGGTGATGGCGATGGTAATAACTTAAATCCACCAGGAAAAGTATGAGGACACAAGCAATTTTAATTATCTTCGACATTGCCGGCTCGCATATACGATTATTTGGCTCGAAAAACTTTCGCCTATGGTTGAGACGATAAATGGCGCAAGATGCTAAATTTATTCTCAAAAAACTCCATCGTTAGAATGGTCTTTGAGAGCGTCAATGTCCCATAAGTATTCCATCGTTATTTCGGATCATTTCGCTCTCCCGAATTATGGCTGCTTTACGGATGACTGCATAGTTTTGATTATCTCGAGCAGCCATCTCCATTTTCAAAATCATATCGCTTTAACAATGGTTTTTTCCCTCCCTACAGCAATGTTTTTTATATCGTGGACTTTTTTCAGCCATTGGTGAAGCGAATTCAGTATTTGTCACAATCGTACGTGGTGAATATGATGGAGTCCTTCCGTGGCCTTTTTCATGTCCAATTACGTTCACAATGGTTAATCAGGCCAAAGGAGCTGATGGTAAATTAATGAAATTAGTTCATAATATAATATATTTCTTTATTTAATTCGCAAAATATTAAAAAGAAGACTTTAATTGATTCATATAAATTTAAAATTTTCATCAATTTGCAGTTTCACTAACGATTACTCCACGTATAACAGAAAATAATCTATTGTTTCTTGATCGGCCAAAAGCAGATCGCAATCCTGCTTTCGGTTTAAAGAGTTTCGTTGATCTGCGCTTTATGAAATCCAAAGATGAATTTGTTCGTGACGATTGTTGCTTTATTCGCGTTGACGTTGATCTGTCACCTATATATGATTATATATGATTGTTTGTAGGCATGTGTGCAAATTTCTGGATTAATTTTTAGTAATTTTTTTTTGCTTATCTTTTCTAATTGCATTTTCTGCTATAAATTTCAGTTTCTTTCAATAGCATTCACCATATCTGGCTTAGCTGATTCCACTGGCCGTAAGGAATCTTCTCCACTTGAAATAGAAACAGAAATGCCCCAGCGGATTCCACTTTTCATGGCAGCTTTACTCCCGCGCAGAGATAGGATTCGAACTTATGATGATATGACCTTAATGCAAGCAACGTGCCATGTGAAATAAATTTTGCTTTCATTTTGAAATGATTGTTTCCTTACGAAATTTGTTCTACTAACGGTTTTTTTGGTGTGAAATATCCACAAACAAAAACCTATAAAATTCTGCTTTTTTCTAAAGTTATTTTGCTTTTTTTATAATATAATAAATTGGTAAAATGATCGGTGATGATTGGTGAAGGTCGACAGAGGGCGATGCGAAATGTGTCGTTGGTCGCTGTTATCGCAGCACGGTTAATCCCTTCTTTAGATATTTTCCACGTACTCAGTTTTTCATTTGTGGCAATAGGAGTCAATCATTTTTCGCATGACGATGTGTTGCCGAATGACTGATAAATTTTGCCAATTCTTTTTCCTCTCTGTTTAGGTATTTTGTTGATAAAAAAAAGATTAGCTAAAGGGCTGTTAAATCCTTTTTTCCAAAATTTTCTGTTTTCTTCACTTGCGATGAAACAGAAAAAGCGTCAGTGTGTTTGCTTTGCAAACAATAATTTCCAAAAATTTCTATCGATTTTTAGATCATTTTTCCTTCTAAAATCAATGAATTTGCTTTATGCATTTTATATATTTATTCGTTTTAGATTTTTATTTATTTCGGCACAAAATTTAAGAATTTAAAAATTTCCTTCAAAATGTAAAAGAATAAAAATTTTGCAAGAAATAAAAAAAACAGTTTTGTTATTTTCGAAGTTTATGTGATATTTCGACGTACGTAAATGATTATTTATTTTGAATCGCCAATAAATAATTGGCCGTTTGAGAGCGTTTTCAAGAGGCGATAACATCGCTTTTAATGCTTCTGGCAAACCATTATAAGCAATTTGAAATATACGAAATTGTTGGAATAGTTTGGAGATTGTCTTCTAGACCATCTGGCTGCCATCAGCTCAGAACTCCGGCATAAAACTTCCCAGAAAGTCCTTTGGAAATGGAAATGCAGATAGGTGCTCGAATTTCAGTGAGAGGTTTACTGCTGAAGTGCCATGAGTTGGCAGAAGCCACGATGATTGAGCCCCATTCGGGCCTCTATCGGAGATAAAATTTCTTTACACGGCTTTTGGCGAAAAATTTTATATGCACCACTTTCTCGTGTACTAAGCGGTTAACAATGTCGTTGACAGTGAGGAATTGGCTCCTGACGCGAGGTAAAGTTTCTTAAAAATTTTACGGCTGGTGCTGACAACTCGCCTGTCAAAAATTTTATAGCATTCCAACGAGCAATGGAAGCGAATCTAAGCTATTAGAGGGAGCTTTACCACTTCTTTAGTTAGCGATTAGAAGGAGAGGAAGAAACTGTTCAATAAAATTTAAAGGGATTTAAAGTCTGCCAAAGATAGTTCACTTTCGATATTTCAGGAGCAATTTTTTAAAACTTAGATTGCTAATCATAGTTTTCAAAACGTAAATTTTTCAACAATGCTTAATGATTTTTACTAATTTATTTAACGTTTTTAATTAAAATTTCTTTTGCCGAAATATTGGCTTATCAAGAAATTGATTTCATTTCCATGATAATATTTGTAATGATAACGTTAAAAGTTAAAGAAATCGACGACTCACTGTACTAACAATCGATTGCCGATTTTACCATACGATACCATTTCCATAATTTTTGAACGAATTCACCTTAAAAATACTGAAATGAAATGAAAAAGAAATTTTAAAAAAAAGCGAGTTTTGTGATAAATGTTAATAGAAATGTTAACGCTTTTGATTAATTTTTAATTGAGTGAAATAAGAGGTTAGCATCGAATATTTCTGGTTAGGTCGGCTGCATTGAGAAATTTTTGTCAGTCAAGCATCCACCTGCCGATCGATGCACGAGCGAATCGGCAGCACCACCCGGATTTTTAAGTCGACTCTTTGCTAGAGGTGGAACTCGAACATCGATGTTGAAGAGGATTGGTACATTTTTTTTGTGCTGATAGGTTGCTGAATTCAAGTTCGTATTCACTGTTCGTGTAGATCAATTTTGTAATTACTCAGTGAATTGTTCTTCTCTTCAATTTTTGCATTTCTCTTTAACTTTTTTTTTCGTCCAAGTTTTTTGCATATTTTAAAAACTTTTGCAAGAATTGGTTATTTAGAATTGTATTTTGATACAAAAAAATTTTTTTCAAAATTTTTCTAATCGAAAGTTTTATCTCGTCGACGATTTCGCTCGCCGATACTTTGGTCACATTGTCACATTGTTCGTGATTATTGTTAAATTTGGCGAATCATGATTATTATCAAAATTTGATGATTTTGATCATTTCCGAATCATTGGTTATTTTCAATTTTATCATTTGATTTAATTTAAACTGTTATCATAGCTAAATAAATTCGTCGGTGAAAGGCAACAATTCGGCTCATCTCATATCTTCTTTTTCTAATCGCATTTTTGGGCTGCTTGGTTGATTTGATCGCCAGGATGAGGCGAATTCTCCAAAGAGTCACTCGCAGTAGAATGTGGAATAGAATATGAGTCTTGAGCACCACCCGGATTCCAATTTTAATGTCGTGTTTACATATATATCTCAAGGGACAAAGACTGAACCCATAACCCTTGTTAACTGCAACAAAGTGCTATTCTGCTCATCTGTTTATATTTATATTAATATCATAGTTCATCAGTCATCATTATTGCAAGGGATTTTTCTTACTGTGTCACCAATCGATTAGGCCATCATTTTTAATAAATTTAAGAGTAAAATGGTATAAATCATGATAAATCTCTAATTTCAGGATTACCAATATCGTTTTAAAAGTTGGAATTCAGTTGAAATTGAAATTTTGCCAGATAGCTGAATGATACTCCGATATGTTCGGTTATTTATCCTTATTATGTCGGATAATATAGTTGCGCAGAAAGTATTAGAAATGATCCGCAAGGAGCGCGCTATGCCATATGTAATCTTTCAATAAGCTAACTTAAAGAATTTATGAAGACAAAACGCTGAATAATAAGCAGTTTTTTATGTTATAGCAAGGAAATTATGTTGAACCACGTTTTTTTGCATGGGTTCGGAATGGTGATAAAATACCTGCAAATGCGATTAGGCCATTTCAGCGAGCACTTCATTTCGGTAATGAAACAATTGATGTAGTAGTTGCATTATGGTACGTTTCTACTGTCTAACTTTTTATTTAAAAAAATATTTTCAAGTTCTTGATTATTTGGATCGATTGACGTTCACTGCCTTGTCAGAATGTGGTGAGAATTTTTCGCAGAATTCGGGGGTAAAATACAAATGGATGCACCCTTTGGATTTTTTAGTCTCGGAAGCAGAACATAAATCTAATCAACAGTCTGCTGGGCGCTGGGCTATTCTGCTGCCAGTATAGATAATATCCATTTTAGATGAATATGGTTTAGCATAATTAGTACAGGATTCCAGATAGAGATTTTGCTGGAGTATGGGGTCGCGCTTGGCAAGAAAACAACACGCTTAAAGCAGTGTTTGTACATAACAATACAGTTAAAACAAATTTACATCCAGATTTGGCTAAAGGATTTCGTATTTTGATTTATCCTGGCACTAAAGAGACTAATGGCTTCAAGTAAGAGTTTTGTGATCAGAATCCGTTCTGCATATTTCGAACAAATCAAAATAAATGTTTACTCGATAGAATACCGGTTCTACGAAATTATAGAAATATAGGTTCGCATGATTCATCGCCGACATAGTGTCAAAAACTTTTGTTGTTTGTTTGGAATCTTTCAAAGGATTCTCCCTATCCTCTCTTAGAATACTGTCCTCTCTACGATATGAATGTAGATCGCTACCCATATCCTCTACCCAGATATTATTCATTTTTGACTGATGGCTTTGACCAAATTTTAATATTGTTTTTGATTTTTAACCTCCTGTTATTCAGATTCAAATGGGTACAGTCAGGTCGAGCAGATGGTGGCACAGTCCTGTTTTCTGGAAGAGTAATGAATGTTCCAGCAATATATGTAGAGGACAATCGCTATGAATTTCTCGGCAATGGTGATTGGTTTAATAAGCAAATGGAATTTGTTGTTTATGGCAGTCAGGATTTTCATACTGTTGGTAATTTTGGTCGTCATAGAATCTTCGACAACAATGTTTACGTCCTGACAAAGCAACGATGTCATTGTCAATGTGAATAAAATTTTGAGCTTAAATTTCTCATAATTTTAAAAGATTGCTTAAAGGAAGGAATTTGAGGAAAATGGTTTCGAATTTATCAAAATTAATCGTACCTTCCATAGTTTTATTAAAATTATTGAAATAAAGCGACTGTGTTGTTGACTGAAGGAAAAAATGTTTAATAAAATAGGGAATCTGATTAATATTTTTTTTTTGCTTCTTTTGTGAGTTTTTCATAATAACCATATTAAATATTTAACGTAAAATACCAAATTTTGACAAAATCCGAACAAAATGTGAATTCGCATCGGAAATCACTCTTCCGCACACAGACTGAACTGTATTTGTTTAGGTGAAATAATTTCGTGATGGTGGTAGCATCATTTGCATTAAATTAACTCCCGTTGCATTTCCTTCGAGATTCTCTAAAAATGGTAGAAATTTTTAGTGCTGAAGCTGCATTTTTTGTCGGGAAATGTTGATGTTCTTCGAAGTCCCAGTTTTTTATTGTAAAATATTTTTGCGAGACCAGGCAAAACTGTTCACTTGATACTTTGGCTGATCATTACCTCATTGGTCAGTGAGAAGGGAAGCCTTCAGCAAAATTCGAACTTTACTTCTGATGATACGTCAACAGACAGAAATCAACCCTGAGTGCTTGGCTTTAGTCAATTGAGCGTCTTGTTATTTGTTTTTAATTAAAGTAATGAACCAGATTTTGAGCGCAAAAATTTCGTACTTACCGCATATAAAGCCAGCCTTCCATCTGCGTGTTGTATGTATTCCCTTTGCACGTGGTGCGCCTCGCCTCACTGACGTTCTCACCAGACATAACCTGCAAAAAGTATGAGAATAAATATAAGTATGTAAGTGTAAGCAGAATAATTTGATTTATACGTATTTATACGTATACGAAATTTCATTTTGAGTTCACAAAAGAATGAATAGATTTCGAAGCAATCTTCATATCGGCAGAAAGTAGTCAGTATTTTTATAAAATAAGGAAAAGGCACCCAATAGTCATGAGCAAACAAAGTAGAGCGCATACAACAAATACTGCAATAGCCCAATTTGGAATATGATTGCCCGTTTTGAAGGCCTTTAATTGTTCAACCTTTGTTAATCGAAGTTCAATTTCATCCAGCAATTGTTCAATAACCTAAATATTCATTTCAACCGCTATCTTCATAAAGCATTTCAAAAGGTCAGTCAATAGCCCATAGCTTCTTCCAAAGTTCACCTTTTGCACTCGAAATTGATACAACTTTTTTTTTAAACAAATTTGATTTAAACAGTAAAGCAATAATTTATTTTCACTTTATTATACCAGAAAAAATTATATATAAAAATGATAATCTTACTGTTTTAAGTGGATAACCATTTTTCAATTTATCATTTTCTTTATTAATAGTTTTTTGAAATTGATCCAAATTATGCTTCGAGTACAAACTGCTGCTAATTTCATTTTCCAGTTCTTCAATTACAAGTGCCCCAAATGACGCAAAAATATACTAAAATACACTAAAATAAATATACTAAAATAAATATACTAAAATATAATTAGATGGAGTCCCTATGCCAGTAAACAAAGATTAATTGGAAAAAATAATCTATGGCATTGTTTTGTTGAAGTTAATAAAATTATCCTATTCTTGAAGGCTTATTGCAAGTCAAAAAATAGTTTGTAAAAGCAAAAAGTAGAATTTCTTAAGAAAAATTAAATTATCGGTACTGGTGCGCTGTTCATGAAAGCTTCCGACGAATGCTGTGATTTTCGATTCATCATCTGAAAATTCAAGTTATTGGCGGAAATTCCGAATTAATTGTGACATAAAATTAAAATCGTTTTTCGTTTGCTTCATTTTGCCGGGTCAGTTTTTCATCGTTTGTTCCATTTTCTAGGGTAATTTTCATCGTTTGATTCATTCGTAGAGTAAGTAGTGTTCAACATTGGCTTTAAGCGCGGTGATAGTTTCACTATGTCTCCTTTTTCTTTCATTCTAATTTTTAATTTACTACGATAATATATATATTTCGCACATCGTTTTATTATATTGCTATCTGGATAGCAATAAAACTTTAAATTGGTTGTAAATTCTAACATCAATTTGTGAAACCATAGAAGAGTACGTAAGTTTCAAAAATTTCTCTTTCTGAATTTAACAAAACTTTTCACGACAGTTATTGTTTTAATTATTTTAAATACCTCAATATTGGCTTATAATTTGGCTTATAACCTGTTGAGATCTCTTTTGTACGATAAGAAATAAAATATCTTCGTCACATTCACCAAATGCCCAACGTTCTCGCAAGATTCGAGCATAACTATCACCATAACGTTGCAGTGATTCCCTTAATCAGAAATTTTGCGTGAACAGCGAAATTATCGTGAAAGCACGCCTAACATCTTAACTCATTTGAACTTATTAAAATATTGTTTCATTTCAGTTTCATTTGTCTCTCACTAAAAATTATTATATATTTTAAAAGTTAATTTAATGAATCCATTTTCACAATATAGTCAAGAACCAAAGAATCAGAAAGAACCTTGGCGATGGATATAAAATAAATCCTAAGAATTACTCGAATTTCGCAAAGAAGATCGGTATCAAAGTAAAATTCGGCAATAAATAAATGGGGATTTTCTCCATTGTTCAATGGAAATTTAAAATGCGTAGAGTAAGTAGTGTTCAACATTGGCTTTAAGCGCGGTGATAGTTTCACAATGTCTCCTTTTTCTTTCATTCTAATTTTTAATTTACTACGATAATATATATATTTCGCACATCGTTTTATTATATTGCTATCTGGATAGCAATAAAACTTTAAATTGGTTGTAAATTCTAACATCAATTTGTGAAACCATAGAAAAGTACGTAAGTTTCAAAAATTTCTCCTTTTGAATTTAACAAAACTTTACCACGTACCTGGAAGAAAAGATTGAGGCATTTTCATCGTCGTTTAAATATTTCAAAAGGGTTGAATTGATAGGGCAATAATCACGACTATAATTGCCATAGTGCTTGATAATTTAAAAAATAGATGGTTTTAGAAAGTGAGTTTAAAAGCTGTTCAAGGCTTCTCGTTTTTTAAGTTTTTATACACATATTTTATCAAAATTTATCATAATTTGCTCTGGGCTAAAGATTTTATTATAATAATTTTTTATAATAAGGAAACCAAATCATGATCTTGATGATTAAATATGCATTAAATCGTTCTATAATATAATATTTCTTGCGGACTGAAAATGGACCGAAAAAATCAGATCAAAGCTGAAATTTACCTATATAAATGTGAGACACCGGTTTCCACAGGAAATATTTGCCGAATGAAGGCAAAACCAAAACGATACCAACATGGTTGTCGCTAAAATATGCGAAGAATAAATTTTTTTTTTTTGATTATCTGGATTAATAAGGAATAACGCGCTTTTTTCTCTATTTGGCTGTTATATTAGATTAAATAAAATAATAATGATTAAATAAAATAAATAAAATAATTGAGTTAATTATGGAAATTATTTCCGTATTCGCCAAAAGCAATGCTGCGTGCTTAATTCTAAATGGACTTTATTGTATTTGAATGGTTATCATTTTTAATGATTATTTTGATGATTATTTTATATATTATCTTATGCGGTCCATTTTATTATTTTCATTATATTATTATACTATATACTATTATATTCATTAAAAGCATTTAGGTGGAAGAAAAATTTCGGAAAAAAGTGTTATAGGAAGGAGCATGGACTTTTCCAGCATCATCTGGGAGCAGTATGGAAAAAAGCTTGACGAGCACTCGTGACGCGAAATGGCGAAAGCAAAAAGGCTATGCGACCATAATATAGAAAATGCATTCGAACCAGCAGTTCGCCTTATCGCAAATTAGTTATCGATTATCAATTACGGAACAATGAAGAGATAGTTGATATTAGTTGGGTGCCAAAACGCGAATCAGTAAGAGATTCAGATGCATAAGACGATGGCAGTTATAAAGAAAGGAAAGGTAAGCTGGAGAAGGGAGCTGTTCAAGGCTCGTCTGAACTATTAAGGAGCGCCACACGAATTTCGACGTGGCACCTTGTGGAAAGTGAAACTGACAGCAAAGAAGCAAATTGTGCAAAAATGTCGATTTCGTTCAGTAAAATGAAATTCTAAAATTTTTGTTTGACAATTTACAGTTTATATTCAGAATCATGTATGAATATTAATTTTAAAAAGGATAATTAAGCAATTAAGAAAAAAGCTTGAACTGAATAGAAATTGATCGACTGATGCATAATCAAGTGTACCATTTTACTGAGTATCCACTTTAATAGCTGGTTAGCACGAATAGAAAGGGATTCACATCCCCATAGGAGTGCAGAGTTACAACACAACACCACCCAAATAAAAGGTTTATTCCTGTCAAGGATCGAGCTTTTCAATCTCAGCATAATGTCTGAATCACTGTCCACTCAAGGATATTCTGCTCCTTATAGTCCACGCAACTCGAATAAATAAATTTTTTTGTTAAACAGGATTTTCACTTAAAGCAAAACGGCTCCTTATTTCTTGAAAGAGATTTCCAGAAAACTTCCATTAATTTGCAAACGATGTCGTTTAGCAAAATTTTCTTTCCTTTTTATCTTATTGTTCTTATTATTCTAATAATATTATGAAAGAAAATCCATTTAATTTAATAAAAATATTTTTTATTATATTTTTATTGTTTTTCATTATATTATTTAATATGTTATGTTATAATAAAAATATTTTATTATATTTTTATTATATTATTGGATGGTATTCTCAAATTTGAATAGCGGTATAGTCCCCGGAAGCATAAATCTGGAACTAGGTTAAACGAGCCAGAAGGCTTGGAACCGTCTTACTCCAGTTGCCAGCTGAGCCAACTATTAGAAGCTGTTTTTATTTTTTAGAGGAACAAGAAGGAAGAAATGTTAAAAGTAATCAAAATGTTAAAAGTAATCATCACCTGGCTATATTTGCAAACACAATTATCCCTCTGCTGCGAATTAATTTTTTCAAGTTTCTCTTTAATTGCTTCTACTAAAAAATTTAGAGTTAGAAATTTCCCCAAAAAAAAATTTTTTTTGAGGTGAAAATCATGAGTAGCTTTTTATGATTTTCATTTTCAATGAAAAAAAGAGATGAAGAATTCTTTTGTTTTATAAGCGGATTAATTTATGCCAACGTTATGTCAATGATTTCATTTTTTTCATAATGCTTGGTATTTTTTATGGAAAATATTTTCGATAATAAAACGAAAGAAAGCCATAAATAATAATAATATTCTTCTGCACATGAAAAAAAAAGTTAACTTATTTTAAAACTGCTAAAGATGGACTTATTATGAGACGGTGAAAAAGCAAATAGAACTAAAAACGAAATATCAAAGTCTTGAAAGTTCTCTATTTAAACAAGAAATCAGGAAGAAATTCAAAAAAAAAATTAAAATAAAACGAACCTTCAGACATGCTAATTGTTTGGTCCGGATCGCATAACTTGATATCTTGCAATAATTCAATGTCACTAATTCCACAATCGAAAATATTCGATGGAATCGGATATGCACATGGTGTTATGGACAATAATCTTTCGCCACTAAAATCATCACTTTTTTCTAAAGTTCTTTTTCAAAATTGCATAAATATCTAATCTAAAACGATCATTCTGGAAATGAAAGTTTTTTCGATGAATAATCTGTTGAGAGATCCCGAAAATGATACCAACTCTTAGAATTTTTTCGCAGTGTGCGATTAATATCACAGATGAATTTATAAACTGGAAAAGTGGTGGCGGTTGCTTCGATTCGAAAACGTTTCTTTTTTATTTATATGTTTCTAATATTAGTATCGGTTGATTCTTTTTGGTATTTTCTAAGTAGTAAGTCAATTTTTTTTAAATATGTAAAATGGTAAATTAAATTTAGAATTCAATTTAAAAAAATTTTTTTTTCTTTGATGATTTTGCAACGGTTTTGTCAGAAATACGAAATTATCTTTCTACAGATTTGCAAATATTTCTTCACAGTTTTAATTAAGATTTTAAGATTAAGATTTTATAAACTTATCTCGATACTTTCGTGATTATCATAATTAAAAAATTGATTTGTTTATCTGGGCAGGCTTCCAGCAAACTTATCAAATCTTGGAGGCTGCTGGAGAATATCTATTTCACATGATCCCAGGTGATTTTTTGGCGAATAGATCAAGAAAATTATGCCAAACTGCATCATATAGTATAGTATCACTAATACGTTAATATATATGCGAACAATGAAATATTAATAGCATTACTAAAAACGGTGTAAATTCTCGAACTCCTCTAACGGCAACAAAGAATATTCAATCGGAATAAAGTCGATAATAATTGAAAATCTATGCAGCTTAACTGAAGAAGCATTACTTAAAAGAGTTAAAAATGCCGACTTTATGTACGGTGAGATTTAGGCTATAGGTATGTGGAAATGCTGTCAGAATGCTTGTGGATATAGCCATCCACATACTATTAATGTTGGGTATCGCTTGGATATCGCTGTCGAAAGGCCCTCTTCTTAATTCTAGTGTACTGGATATACCTGATTCGAGTAAAAGTAGTGGTCAGAGTGTTACTTCGGATAATTGGGGAGAAATTGCAGTCATATGTCTGAAAAGATACAATTGGCTCTAATGATGCTGATTGACCAGTTTTAATGACCAGTTCGATTTCGCCTGTTCTAAAGGCAACATCTTTATCATATCAATGTTTATATCACTGCGCTGTGCACGGATGGAAAAAAATTCTATCAAAAATTTTAGCTTAATTTTCTAGCAGCATCCCTCCCAAAAAATAACGTAATTGATCGCAAGAGATTGGAACGTGAGGGACGTGAGAATAATCATTGAATAATCCAAGATGTCAATTTTCTGTGGCAGGCAAGAAATTGAAACTATGTGTGCCAATGCATCTTTTCTGCTTTGGTGAGGAGAATGAGTATTTTGCCATCAATACTTTCAGCCTTTTGCATTGCAGAAGACGTCTAGTTAAAGAACTCGTCGGACAATCAATACTCAAATTGATTATATTTTAGTCAGTCACTGATGGGAGAGTCTATACTAAGCCGCACATATCGCAGAATCAAAACTCCACGACCATATTGATGGCTCAGAAGCTCTGTCGTCTCGCAACAGTCACAAAAATCATTGCTGGAGCAATATGAAGCAGCTCGAGCAGGTGAAAATCGATTATCGAAAATCATTCCGTTTAATTGACTGTGACCGGAGAAATGGTCAATGAATAATCCAAGATTAAAATGGGAATCATACGAAAGCATCAGTGAACATTAATGATCACCTCTTCTGATGGAGAGAATTCTTTGAGTCTACAACGGATCCACCATCCTGACATAATTGAAAGTTTTTTAAAAATTTAAAGCCGTATGATTGCACTGCTAACAGGGTGCACGAAATAATCATTCATAACGGAGAAGATAATCTGCATGATGAAATCTTTAAATATTCCTTTTTCTCTTAGCTTCCTTCCCAGTCCACTTGCAAAATTTGTATTCACTGATGTTGGAGCAAATGCTCTATGAGTCATTCTATTTCTCCAATTCTCAAGAAAGATGATAGGTCCTAGTGCAATAATTATCGAGGAAATAGGTACATCTGGGAGAATTTTTGCCTTTTGCTGAATAGACTCAAGGTAGTGTGTGATATAAGGACGCTCTGTAATCAGAAGGGATTTAGATCTGGATATGACCATGCTGGATAAATTTTCACGCTGAGGCGGTTAGGTGCTTCGTTGACTTTGTCGCTTTTCGATTCAATCAACAGGGCAACGCTCTGGCAAATCATGCAATACGTTAATTAATGATAAATCACACTTATCACAGTTTAAATTTATAGGCGTGCGTAAGTGCAATTTTATATGCATTAGGAATTGACATAGCCTTTTTGAATGTTATGAGGAATTACAATGAACAGACTGGGTGTCGACAGCAAAAAATTGATCTTCAAATTAGGGCAAATAAGAAGAAACCTGATAAGATCGCAAATTCATCGAAGTTTCAGACTTTAAACATCTTAGATCCACTCTAGTATCTAATGATCAGGCGAAATTCGGATGGCTGCGACCACAGATTTATTTTTCGTCTGCCTGCGAATTCTCTTTAACTGCAGTATGCCTTACAAAATCAGCCTTACAACAAAAATTAACATCCTTCACCCTAGTCGCCAGCAAATATGGAAAAGCCAAACCAGTAACGATGCCAGTTACTGGAACAAAATTATATATCTACCATGGGAGAGGTAATAAATATTTTCGATCATAACTGTACCAATTGAATTGAATTGGTCATATGGATCCACTAGTATTCTCTATGAAGGCGATTTGCAACATGAATTTACTTATTCAATTACACATATCTGAAAATTTTGGAATTTGATTCAAAATGATTAGAAAAATTGAAGGCCAGAAATAAGAAATTCAGAAACCACAGTTTGAAAAATTATTTTTCAATTTGTATTAATCTCTGTTATTTTCTGATTTCATAAATTAAAAGTAATATCAGTAAAAAAGCCTTTGGAAAATAAACAATTATCAGTTCTTTTATCCTTTCCAATTTTTCAGAAAAGCAATTTTTACTAGCAACTGCAATGACAGTCAGTCCTCTTCTAACAGCACTCGTTATTTCTGGCAGGCCTCGTTGAGTCCTTTTTGCCGGAAGTCCTCAGAAGTACTTAGGTTCCAGTTAATGAGTAGAAAATCATAAAATATTTTAAAACACTTTTATAATTAAATAATTTTACAATTCCATGAACTTTAAAACATCACAAGCTTCTTAATAAAAATTATTCAGAAGATTCTTTGAAAATCTATTGCAGTTGCCGAATCGAGTGGGCTCGTCATATATCCTTCAGAGTAAGCAATGAATAATTTATTACAGATTGTATTTGAAAAGAGCTCAATTGTTTTTTTCAAAATTTAGTTTTTCCTACGATTTTAAGAAAATATATTGAGTTTGGAAAATTGAAATAAAGTAAAGTAAAGTAGGTATTTTAATTATCTTCGGAGAACAAAAGAATAAAACTCAGTTTTCTTTTGCCAATTTAGATTTTTTGATTTATTAAATTATCCATTTATACGATTCGCAACTCCCAATCTTTCTGTTTTTCAGTAGGAACTTATGGTCATTAATTTGGAGTACTTAAAATATAAGCTTAAACTTAGAATATTTTGATCAAATTAAATTCTAGAATAGAAAACAATTTCCTTGTTTATTTAAATAGAATTATCTTGATGCCTTTTTTAAATTTAGTGCATCGATCCACGTGCTTCAAAATAACAATGCGTGTTATCAAGAAATTGGTATTCAGCGGTATTAAACCTTTATTTATATAACAAAAAGGGTTATTTTTGTTCAATATATTGATTGCTAAAATAATGCCACCTTGACCTATAGGCCTCTTAGAGCTGTGGCTAGTTCTAAGGAAATGAATCCTCGATGTCTTTCAGCTGGATAAAGTGAACGATATTCTCAAGTAGAATAAAATTTGGATATTGGAAAAGAAAAACAAAAATAATGCGAACTCTTAGATATGGTGAATAACTTAATGGATTATTCTTCCCACAAAGATTTTATTACTTTTTTAACATCAATCGTATATTTTCCGGAATAAAATTTTTGAAAGAGGTGGATTCAGAAGTGAAAATAATTCCTGAATTATTAGATTTAGTGGCGAAAAGAAACAATTAGATTTCTTACCCAATCTTGGATTTGTCATGAATTTCACTATATTTCTCCAAAAGGTTCTCCACTATTCGCAAAAATTAGTGCTATACTGAATTTAATAATTTACTAAGTTTAACATATAATTTCTCACATTCAATGCATGATTAGTCTTTTTACAATAGAACAACAATAAAAATGCGGAATCTGCGAAAGTTAATGAAAGTTAATGTAAGCGAAGAGGACTGTTTAAATTCAAAATAAATGGTTAATCAAAGTCCTCTATTGTGTAACAAATATAATAAATAATATTTAAGAACATAAAAAATGATTATAAAGAAGATAAACCCAAAGTTAGGAAGACAAATTTGCAGATGAATTTTCCCATGTACCCCTATATAAAACAAAAATTTGCAGAAATTTTCTTTCCAATATTTTGCTCTCGGCAATTTTTTCCATTGCTGTGTACCAAACAATTTTTTATGATCAAGAGCTCTTGGGATTGGCGCAAGTAATGGTTAAATATATAGATAATTGATCGGAAACAACTCAGATATTGGATGATTTTATCCAAGAAACAAATTTCTTTGAATTTAAATGAAGAGTCTGAAGTTGCCGCTAAAGGTCGCTAAACGTTACAAAAAATAACGATTAGTGCAGTAATAATTGTTATTAAGAGTGATAATCATTGATAGAAAACCACAATTTTTAACCAATAATAAAATGATTAAAATGATTCGTGGGCTTTTTGATTTTTTGTCCAAACTCAATCCAGATATTTTATCCAGAAAAGTTAAATTTTCTAGAAGCTTATTCTGTCATTAGATATGAGAAAAAAAGGAAAAACTTTTTGCAACAAGGAAATTGTCAGTTTTAACAAATGAAAATGCTAAAAATTGCTAACATTTAACTTTTATTAACCAATTCCCCATTACTATTCCCCATTCCCAATTTCCCATTTGAATTTGTCAGTAATGGCATTAATTGGCTTTCTGGAAAACAATTTAGTTTTAAATATATTTAGGCAAATTTTCGCGATTTTCAAATAAGGAATTCTTCTCTGTAGGAAGAATAATTTCAGAATGGAACCACGATCTGTCACAAAAGTTTTCCGCAATTTTTAAACTTCATCAATTGAGTAAATAAGATAATTTAAAAGGTATTCATAACTTACGAATAGTTTACTTATTTATTTTATCAAGATGACGATAGTTCATCGTGTACTATCAATAGCTAAATTAGTAAAATAAACTAATATTTCTATAAAGAAAAAAAAAAAGATTCGTATTTATTGTATTTGAAATCATGAAATGGTGAAATTTCGTATTTGGAAGCGGCTATTTGGTTAAGTAATTAAAAAAGAAATGTTAGATAATATACAACAAACAGCATTTACCGTTTCTGCTTTCACTAGTTGACTAAAGTTCCACTTCAGTGAAAGATTAGAGAACCTTAGGGTCATTCGGATCTATTTACTATTTTTAATAATAGATTTTTCACTTTCACCGAAGGACCGATTCCATAAC